TATGTTATTAGAAATACTTTAACTTATAATATAAGGTTAGTAATAATAAAAAAAGAGAAGTAAAATAAATTAGGAATAATAGCTATTATTACTAGTAAAACTAACTTTTTAATAAAGATCTAATAAGTTTTTATCTACTATAAATATTTATAATAATAAATACCTTTTCTTTAATATCTTTATTAAAAAAGTTTCCTAATGCTAGCGTCTTTAAATACTTCGTCTCTAGCATATAGAGCTTATCTACAGATCTTAAAGTGTTCTTGTATCACTCCTACAAGGGCATATATCATATCTCACTCCAAGAGCTTCCTTTCCAACTCCTAATTCTCCCGAAAGGAAACGAAAAGAGAAGAAAAAAAAAGAAGATCCCTTTCTTTTAGAGCCCTTCCTCTTCGGCTTCCTCATTCTCACCGCGGCGGCCACTCCTCGTAGTCAATATCCACGCCGCCGCCGTGCTCCTCGCCGGGCCGCCACGTTTCCGGCACCGACGCGAAAAGCTCCGCGGCAGAGGCATCCGCCCACGCCTCGTTGTAGATGCCCGGGTCCTGCATCGCGCCAATCACCACCGGCTCCCCATACAGCCAGCTCCCCGTCGGCGCCATCCCAAAGCGCGCGTCGTCGTCAGCACGCACATTGAACCGCTTCCACGCCTCCGCCGAGCTCCATCGGCCGGCGCCGCTCGGGTCGCGAATCGCCTCGGCGAGGCCCAGCTGCTCGGCCCGCTCTAGCAGTCTCCGCGTAAAGTACGACGGCGACGCATCCTCGTTCACGTCTCGGTCGTGTGCTTGCGCCTCGCCGAGAAGAAACGGGTCTGGCTCGACCGCATTGACCAACTCGTCAAAGAGCACGCGGTCGCGCGTGTATATCGCCGCGCGCAGCACCGCCGCACGCATCGCCGGGCACCGCCGCGCCACCTCCCTGTACGTGGACCTCGTCGCGACCGCCGGGTACCATATGAGATACGGCAGGTGCTCGCGCGGCACCTCGGGCGTCAGCCTGCTGAGGTCGTTGCTCATAATCATGCGCGCGTGCACCGCTCGCGCCACCCACGCGGCGTGGCGTCGGGGTTCCCGGGGCAAAAGCAGCCCTTCCGCCCGGCTTCCCACGGCTGTCGCCCCCCACCACGTCGCGAAGAAGGGGTTGTGGTAGATGCCCCGCGCGACGCAGGCGGCCTCGCCGTCAACCATCCGCGGGCGGCGCAGCCGCGCGTAGCGGTCCATGTTGCCAGAGTAGGCGGCAGCGAGGATCAGTACGTTCTTGTTGCCGGCGGGCAGGTCTGCAGGGAGTGGTTTGGCGAGGTATGCGGCCATGGCGAGGTCCGCGGGGCCAAAGGTGGGCTCCGGGCTGGCGAGCTCGTCGATGCAGAGGTCCTCGGTAATGTCGAACGTGGCGTCCTCGAAGCCGGGGTGGGCAAACATGTCAAACATGTCGTCAATGTCATCATCGTCCGAGCCATCACTGAAAAGGCGTTCCTCGTAGCCGCTGGGCGTTGTCAGCGCTTGCTTGGCCTCGAGCATCGGCCGGACCGCCGTATCCCCATTAAGTCCTGACGGCTGCGGGTCACTTAGAATCGAGCGGCTGTAGTCGTCCATGACGCGGTACTTGACCGGTTCGCCCATGACCGCCTCGTAGACCTCGCCGCTGCCGCACGCCCTCGCCTCCTCGGCGACCGCCACGTCCGGCAGCACGCTGCCCGCCTCCCGCAGCTCCTTATACAGCGCGGCATACCCCGCCACCGCGCACGCGCGCGCGACCTGGTACGCCATGCGCGGGTACCGCCGCGCCAGCTCCCGGTACGTGTCTTCCGCGGCCGTGGTCGGGTGCCAGATGCAGTACGGCACGTCGTCCCCGTCACCTGTCATGTCCGGGATGCAGTCGCTCATGATGGCGCGCGCGTTGAGAGCGCGCGCAAACTCGGGCCACGCCCGCAGAGCCTGCGCTGCGGGGCTGCGCGCAAAGACTGGGTGGTGCCGTATACCGCGGATTACGCAGAGCCGCGTGGCACGACGGCCGAGCGCCACGGGCACGGAGACGCCGCGGAGCGCATCACGGGCGTCGGAGGCGCTAAAGGACATGTCGCGCAGTCGCTCGCGGAGAGCCGCCGGGATTTTGTCAGCCATGGTGAATGTAGCTGAGATGTTTTCTGAATCAATTTATGCATAAACGCAGATAGTATGTGTGTGTTTGTGAGAGGATGAGACGTTCTGAGGGAAGGAGTTGGTCTATAAAAATAATAGCTATATTGTGAAGGGTATAAGACCTGATTCGCACTATCCGCACTATGGATCCGCAGATTTACTGGACAATGGCTTCCATCCCGAATGCTAGTAAAGGCACAGACCACCCCGACGTGAGGCAAACACGTCATATAAAACAGCTAATAACCGCATTTTTTTTACCTATTTTAATACTACTACTCTACATTTCTATGCTATACTTACCTAATAAGGTATTATAGTTTTTTTTTTTTAAAAAAAAACAAACTATATTTATCTAACTATATTAGCTTCTTGATTTTTTTTATATTAATTTCCTGACTAATAGAAGATTAAAGATAAGTGAAATAAACTAAAATAGTATATAAATAAAACTAAGCCTATCTTTTAGATCCTTCGGCTGAATTAGAAGTGACATCAAGACTAGTGACAGGAACCCGCTAACGGCCGGCCGAGCTTAAACTCAAGTGAGAACTCCATACAACGACCGACAGCCCAAGTCAAAACATACCCCCAGCCAATGAACGAAAAGGTCGTCCCCAGCATCATCAATATGGCAAGAGTAATGTATACTCCAAGAATCGTCATCTCAGAAACAGGTTTCACCACATCTGTAAACCGAGCAGTTCCACTTGGCGCGGGCCGCGTCGTTGCACTTATTGACCGATGCCTTGCACTGTGTAGGGTCCTCTTCGCGTCGACACTAGAGTTGACCCGCCGCATGAGCTTTTATTATTATCGACCCATCGCTAATCTGGTGGAAAACTTACGCTAGAACAGCGTGTGCATTGCGAAGCAGCTCTCTTACAAGCAAGTGGGGTACAAGCCGTAGCTATTCCGGAAAGAATAGCGACAACAGCGATGACCGAGACCTTCATCTTGGCGATTGGATGAAGAAAATAGTTGCAGTAAGTAGCAGGAATCAGAAATAGAGTTCGTCTTAGTTGGACGATGAAGTGTGATGGAAGACAATGGATCGTCGTAGGTAGAGAGAGCTGTTTATTATACTAATGGTAGCCCTCCTTGGCTTGCACCCGTATATAAGAGACATGATTGTACGTACATTCTAGGTGATGCTTTTTCCGATGGTTGTGTCTTGCATCTTCGTAATATACTAGTAAGCTGGTCTTAGCCGCTGCGGCTGGATGGCTTAAAACCTGTGCAGCAAGTTTTCTCCTAGCGCAGGCCCCCCCGCAACCTTCCAATTAGGCGTCGTCACTATAGCGGTTCAGTATTGCGGTAGCAGCGTTCTTGTCAAGTGAAATAGTTATTCTAAATTGTAGCTATATTTGAATGTGCCTAGATAATATAGTAGTTACAGTAAAATCAGATGTTGCTCTATTAGGAAATTGCCCGACTCCTGCAAACGACAATCGTGGAATAAGTAGTAGTTGTGTCGTGGTAAAAATGCGAGCAAGCGCCTTTATTATTGTAAATCAGGCCTTGTGTACCTTCATAAGTTGCCCTGATCCAGCCCAGGCAATAAGTGGTGACAAAACTACAATTGACAACTAGGCTCAGTTGCTGTTCATATCCAAGACAAACGAGAGCCGACGGATATGAGCAGTGGTCAACAGGCTGCGGCCCGCCGCTAAAAAAAACCATTTGAGCCAATCTACGCTTTATAACAACTCGAAGCCGTGTTAGAGCTTCTGCCGACATTGTGCATCACCAGTCACGGAAATTGTGGGATCAAGTGCCTATCGCGGGATTATGAACTCGCAAGGGCGGACGCTAGCGCTCTCCATCATGGCCATGAAAACCAACTCTAGAATAGCAACTCTAAAATAGGCACAACATAGATTTTCTGCCTGTCCTTAGTTTTTACGCGTCTCCTCGGCCGTAAAATTTGGCAGATAATCTTCGCCTTCTTCTGATGGAATGGACAGTAGAGAAACCTTTTATATCAGTGTGGGATTCCGCGTTTGAGCTTCTTCACATTACGAGGTACTCTTTCCGTCAAAGAGATCAGAATAGTAGAACACGATTAAAAGCGTAACAGAAAAGCGGCCGTTGCGACATTAAGGAGACGCGCACACTTTGTACCTGGTCGAGATACTGCAGGTATGTTGTTAGATGTTCGACCCAAAATAGGATGAACGAGGGACGGGAAGGCGAATCGCAAAACGGATACGCCGACAGCGACACACGGAATCCAGTTGAAAGCACTTTTTTTTTTTTTTTTTTTTGAAATGTTCATCATGTTACGTTACGCTCGGAATGCCATAAAGTCGTTGTATACTAGGCTTTCCGGTCTGTCGGTAATGACTACGTCGACATGACGCAGACTATCCCTTTTTTTTTCTCGAGACAAGATCAATCTATTCACTTTATTTCATCTCACAAAAAAAAGTGGCACCCCGTGAGAGTGACTGTCATTGATACTCCATTGTATAATCTTGAATTTCCTTCATGACGAAGGACGCACGCAATGGACGACGCATCGCCCGCCGTTTCCGGGCTTCAACTACTGCCTGTCGTTCTGAGGTATAAGATGTCAAGGTTTCCGAATGAGAGCAGCCAATTCATGAGCCCCAAATAAACTCTTTACATGCCAGATACGTTGGCACTGGTAGAATAATGATTTCGTCGGGACAACTCTTTGCAGGGGCTGCGCTCCTCGCAGCTCTCCCCTCTACACTGGCCTTTCCCAAATTATGGCAACCAACGACAACATTTACCTCGACACCGACCGAGATACCTGCTGCCATCACAGCCGACACGAATGCCACGCACGGCTCCTACACGGGCACAGCCACCACCACCGGCGCGCTCTCGACCTCGGTGCTGTCCAGCGAGATCCCCCCCTTGCCGGCCCCCGAAGGCTCCTACGACTACCCAGCCGACGGGGAGCTGCACGCCCCCGAACCTGCGCCGTATACGCCCAGCGGCGGCGTCGGCACCAACGGCTCGGCGCCCGTCTACCGCGTGCAGAGCGACTTCGACTACCAGTCGCTCGCGCTCGCGCTGTACCAAGAGTACATTGAGCTGGACCTCTTCCGCTGGGGCCTGGCCGCCTTTACCGACGACGAGTTTGAAGCCTACGGCATCGGCGCCGAGGACCGCTACCTGATTGAGTACATGGCCGAGCAGGAGATTGGGCACGCGACGCTGCTGTCCAACATGCTGGGCCCGCAGGCTCCCGTGCAGTGCCAGTACAGCTACCCCGTGACCAACGTGCGCGAGTTTGTCGACTTTAACCAGAAGCTGACGCGCTGGGGCGAGGCCGGCGTGTACGGGTTCCTGCCGCACCTGGACTCGGGCCCCGCGGCGCAGCTGCTGCTGCAGAGCATCACGGTCGAGGCGCGGCAGCAGCTCATCTTTCGGCAGTTTGGCGGCATGTTCCCCATGCCCGTCTGGCACACGGTCGGCATCCCCCAGAGCTGGGCCTGGACGCTGCTCGCGCCGCACGTCGCCAGCTGCCCGGCGAACCAGACGCGCCTCGTCTGGCAGAACTTCCCCGCCCTCGCCATCGTCAACCAGCCCAACGCGGCGCGCGTCAACGCCTCCGACGCCTGGAACGAGACGACCGGCCGCGATGGCAGCAACACGCTGTCGACGGCGGAGATTGAGCAGGACGACTCGTGCGTCAACGCGACGCGGGAGGTGGACGAGTGCAGCGCCGCCATTAGCCGGAACCGCAGCCGGCCGCTGTCGTATCCCGGACGGCAAGTGTTTCTCGAGTGGGACGCGCCGGGCACGCTGGTCGGCCCCAACAACAGCTACGTGACGTCGACGAATGTCAAGGAGCCCAAGTTTGCGGCGTGGGTGTCGCAGCTCAACGTGACGTACTCGCCGCTGCTCAACGTGAGCCTGGACGGCCGCAGCGCGTACACGGTGCAGCCCAACGTGTCGACGTGGGCGGGCGACCCGGCCATCAACGGAACCATGTTCCTGGCGCTGACGGACGTGGACATGTATGTGACGCCGTACAACCTGACGCAGCTGAACCCGCACGTGGCGGCGCTGGGTGTGTATCAGGCTGGTTAGCGAGTTCGAGGGGGGGTTAATTAACGAGGTGTGAATGCGGGGGGAGATGTGGAGAAAATTTGTAATTGTTAATTGATGGAAAAGTCGTCTTACATATATGTTCGAGCTTGTTCGGGAAGCTTGTCGCTGCGCTCGTTTCCATAGCACTTGTTATAGTCAAGCAACACTTTTAGACCACGTCTCCAAAATCTAGGCCGTTTCTAATGACTATTCCCGACGTTGACATCATTTGCTCATAGACGGGTCACGCACGCACAAGGCGGGTAGCGATGCCAAGGAGCTGGTTGAGTGGAGAGGCAGAGGTAGTCATTTATTAGACGTACCAGAATCTAGCACCCGACGGCGAAAATTAAATCAAAATTATGTTTCAGTTTTTTTGCAACGGTCATTCAATAAGTGGCTTATTATTAGTCATTGTTGTAATTCGTACAGATGCAGTTTTTAGATGAGGGTTCAATTTCCCGTCGGCAGAATTCATCAAGCCATAATGCGGGGGGGTAAGGCGGCGGCGCCCCAGAATATGGCCACGCGCCCCGATGGATCATCATGTGGGAAAGAGGAGAGGCAGGGAGAGAGAGGGTCCCGCGTCTTTCAAACCGACTGGACCAGAGAAGAATAGAAATGCACGGTTTATGGGGCACAAAGGCCCAGCTTTTTATGGTGTGGCTGCGGTGGGACGATGATAGGCGAATAGGAGCCCTTTGTTCTTGTCGGCGATCTGTGTGCCACGTCAAGCCCAAAGCTGACAGTTTCTCGCGAGGCGTTCTGTCCAGCCTTTTATTATGTAGATGAATAAAAAAGGTTGCATAGTGCATCCATGTTGCAGTCGATCTCGGCTCTTTTAATATCCCCACTGCCGAAACATTTATATATCAGAACTCCACTCCCCATCCCAGAATTACTCAGGAATTAGCGAGCCCAACACGTCTGGGGTGCATAAACTGCCACCAATTTTTTTTCCACAACTTCTCCCATCATCATCATCATCATCATCATCATCATCATTACCATCATTGCCAAGAAACCATCACCACCCACGTCTGACCATTCGACTGTCCGAGAAATTCTGGCCTAGTCTAACCGTTTACCTGCCCGAAAATTCAAGCCTCGCCTAATTCAACGGCTCGAGAACCCTAGCTCTCTCGCCCACCTATCGCGACGGCCCGAGAGTCTGGACATTGTCAACCCATTTGACGGCCCGGTCTGGGCATCGTCAAACCGCCATGACGATCAAGGACTACTTTCGCCGTCGCTCCATTAAAGCCGATGTTGCGCAGCGCACAAAGGCCTCGGAGCTGACGCTGCGCCAGTCCCTCTTCCCGCTGTGTCTCGTCACGGCCCTCTTCTTTCTCTGGGGCTTCAGCTACGGCCTGCTCGACACGCTCAACGCCCACTTCCAGCGCGTCCTGCACTTTACGCCCTCGCGGTCCTCTGGTCTCCAGGCCGCGTACTTTGGGTATGCTTCTACCTGAACTGCCATCCTTTTCCTCCGTTGTCGTCACGACTGACCGTTCTCTTCCCAGAGCCTACCCTCTCGCATCCATCGGCCACGCCGCTTGGATCCTCCGCCACTACGGCTACCGCGCCGTCTTCATCTGGGGCCTCTGCCTCTACGCCATCGGCGCCCTCTGCACCATTGCCGCCCTCAAGGCCAAGTCTTTCGGCGGCTTCTGCGCCTGCATCTTCATCATTGGCAACGGTCTCGGCTCCCTCGAGACGGCCGCCAACCCGTACATTACAGGTGAGCTCAGCCATCCCCGAGCACTGGCAGCCCCTCCTCGAATCATGTTAATCGTCCTCATCGACTAGTATGCGGTCCCCCTCGATACGCGGAGCTGCGCATCAATCTCTCGCAGGCCTTCAACGGCATCGGCTCCGTTGTCGCGCCCGTCATGGCGTCCAAAGTCTTCTTCGCCTTTAGCGACCAAAAGGCCCAGGACAATGTCCAATGGGTCTACCTGGCCATTGCCGTTTTTGTCTGTATCCTCGCCGTCATCTTCTTCTTTGCCGACATTCCCGAAGTAACCGACGCCGGTACGTGACACAACTCAACCATCTCATCCGCCGGCACCTGCTAACACTCGGCCAGACATGGCATTCCAAGCCGAGGAGACCAACACGCAAGGTGCCGACAAGCCCTTTCGGAAGCAGTACAAGCTCTTCCACGCCGCCTTTGCTCAGTTTTGCTACACAGGCGCGCAGGTTGCCATTGCCGGCTACTTTATCAACTACGCCCGCGACACGCGCCCAGGCACATCGCGCAGCCTCGCTGCCAACCTGCTCGCCGGTGCGCAGGCCGTATTTGCCGTCGGCCGTTTCGTCGGCGTCGGCATTATGCGGTACGTGCGTCCGCGTATCGTCTTTGGCTGCTTTCTTACCTGCTGCATCGTCTTTTCCATTCCCGCCATCACGGGTCGCGGCGATGCGGGCATTGCCATGCTCTATGTCATTCTCTTCTTTGAGAGCGTCTGCTTCCCGACCATTGTAGCCCTCGGCATGCGCGGTCTCGGCCGCCACACCAAGCGCGGCAGCGGATACATAATCGCGGGCGTCGTCGGCGGCGCCTGTGTACCTCCGCTTATGGGCAAGGTCATTGACCTGCACGGCGCGGGCACCGCCATGGTCGTGCCTTTGGCTTTCTTTGTGGTTGCATGGACGTATGCCCTCTGCGTCAACTTCGCGCCCCCCTACAAGAGGGTCATTGACTCGTTTAATGAGACCGAGGTCGGCATTGAAATGGCCGGCGAGCATCAAGAGAACCAGATCAAGTCAAAGACTAAGACCATGTAATTCCGAATGGGACCGCCATCCGAGAACCCTGCTCTTGCGCAGGCACACTACGAAAAGTGTTAGCTTCTTTTACCAGTAGATGGCCCTCTGCAAAGCCGCAAGGGAGTCCATCGCGGCATCTTTCATTTGACAACTACGAAGCATTGGTCGCAACCAACATATAAGGGATCGTCACTCTGAACAGGCTGCCAAGTTATCACGGGTTGAGCGTGCAATATCTACAAGTCACACGCAAGGTGGAGCGCACTTTCCGAAAATGGCGCATACCGCTGCTCTCAGTCACAATCACTGAGATATGCAGCGTCGTCAAAAGAGGACTTGGCGACAGAACAATAAGACGACGTTAAGAGGGGCATTTCGAGGCTCCAATTCCAATCAACAAAGCATAGAAAAGCGCATGGGCGACGACGGGGCGAGTTCACACCCTAACTACAACGATTCACTAGGATGCATCCACAAGGCGAGAGAGTCAAGAGGGAGCATAGTATATATATCTCAAGAGACAGTCAGAGGCGGCATGGGATATACCAATGAGGATGAATCCCTCGACGTCGACACATCCACGCTCGGGCAGCCTACATCAACGGAAGCGGCACCTGTCCAACATGCCATCTTCAGCGCCGCCGACATGTCTGTCGGCTATGACAAAGAAATTTGCCCTCGATTCTCCATCGAGAAGGACAGATACCAGACCTCCATGTCCCGTCGCCGCTGACGGCGTACCCCAGAGCCCTCTTCCTGGCAAAGCGCCCGGACGCGTGTTGCAAGAACCGCGTACCCGCCACGACTCCGCAAAGCGGCCATGGTGCCGCAGGGGCTTTGGAGCTAAGCAGATGACGATGAAATTGCACGATTGCCTGCATACCAGGAGCGCTGATTCTTTAGAGTCCAACTCATTACTTGAGCGGATTTGTTAGTCATTTAGCAACGCAGACCAGACTGCTAAAACTCTGGATCAGTATTCATATACTTGAATTGTTATAAACTTTTATCGTGCCAGTTACTATCTAGACATTTGAGAAGTCCCTAAGAATGGCAGCAACAGTGAGGCTTCATTAGGAAAAGTCAACCAGCAAAGCAAGCTAAATGCGTCTTGTATCACAATCATCTTGCATCAATCTTGAGGGCATTCGGGCTTCCAAAAGTCATAATCTGTCAAGTTATTCTAATCAGACGTCTGTCGTTTCTCCTCCACCAGCCAAGCAAGAAAAGCCATTTGCTACTGACCACCAAAATGTCAGCAAGACGAACCATGAACCATGTTTTTTCGCAGCTTTGATACGTGAGCTGCTCTCGTTAGAATGGCAAAAGAGTAAATTTATCCGTTCAAGGTGGTCAGAAATGCGGCTTAGATGGGGGTGATCCTGCTGCAATGGGATTCAGCGAGGTTAAACAGCCGGAATTCTTTTCTTCTTGTTTTTTTCTGTTGCATTTGTCACATTTGCACTTGATCATGTTCCATCATGTTGGTCACTGTGCATCATCTTGCTATACAAAACTAAAGCAAGCGTGGCAGATGGAGATTGTATATATTCATTCAACTTCAAAGATTTTCCGTCAAAAAGATGATTCGTTTCCCATGTAGCTGTTTAAACCCATAAAACGCCATGATGCCAAAACAAACACAAACACACAAAACAACCAACATACCACCGTCTTTTTTTTTTTCCTTCTCGCCTTCATCATCTACGTACCATTTCGTCTGCGCCCTCCCTGCGTGCTGCGATTCACATGTCCCTGGAGCACCTTTTTCGTCTCCACCAGGCTCCTCTTGTGCTTGCTGCGCGCCTTGCCCAGCGTCATCAAAAGTTCTTCTTGCGCTCCTTTTCCCGGTTCGACGTCGACTTGCCCGCCGCCTGCAGCTTGGCCTTGCGCATCGCCTGCGTGCTCTTGTGCTCCTCGCGGTCCGGCTTGCCCTCGCGCGCCAGCTCCACCCGCTCCTCCTTGGTCAGCTTGCGCAGCCGCGCCGGCGCCTCAATCTGCTCCGCCGTCAGGCCCTCGTCCAGGTGCCGGTCCCCGTGCCCGCCGTTGCTCTGTGGCTTCTTGTTGTTGTTGTTGGTGCGGCTGCCGCCGAGGGCGCGCTGCACCGCCGCAGAGGTCCGCAGCTCCTGCAGCTTGGCGAGGTCGGCGGGCGTGAGCACGGTGGTGGTTGCGAGCTTCATCATCCGCGCAATTTCGTCATCGTGCTCGGCGGCGGCCGCCGCGTCGTCTTTGGCATTTTCCTCATCCTCATCGTCATTCTCCCCGTCCTCGGCGGACTTGCTGGTTCGTTGGCGCTTCTTTTCCTTGGGCGCCACCTCTTCCGCCTCGGACTCGCTGCTGACGGCGATCCAGTCGCCAGATTCGCTACTGTCATCAGAAGCCACCTCCCATTCGTCATCATTCGCCTCTTGCTTGTCCTCGGCGTCAGACTCGGCGTCCGACGGCAGGCCCTGCTCGGCGAGGCGCCGCCTGCGTTGCTCGTGCTTCCACTTGGCGAGCAGATCGAGGCCCTCAATCTCGCCGGGAGCCTGTTCGCCGAAGCGGTGCTGCTTCTGGATGCCGGCGCGCAGGCCGATGGTGGCGTCCTTGCCGCGGTCACGCTTCTTGAGCAGCTCGGCGCCGACCTCGCGATACAGCGACAGCAGGCCCTTGGCGGCCATCATTACGCCTTTATCCTTGCTCTTCTTGTACTGCACCAGATCCTGCAGCAGCGTGTCCGTCATGGCAAGCGGCTGCCGCGCGCAGACCTCACGGATCGCGTTGAGGCCCGCGGCAGCCACCTCGGCGGCTGACGCCTCAGAGATGAACTCATTGGCAATTTTCTGCAACAATGGCTCCAGAGCGTCAGGAGGCACGAGATTGTGCGTGCCCTGTGCAAGCGAGGCGAGAAACGACGTGACGTTTTGCTGGCGCGGCGTGAGGAACTTGATGAACCACGAGTACAGCGGCACGACGGTGAGCTTGTGCAGGCCCACGAGGCGCGTCACGAGCTGCAGCACGAGGAGCTTGGTGTCGAGGGACAGCTTGGCCTTTGTGTTTTGTAGGTGCTTGGAGAAGAGCTGCTCGGCAAACCCCTGCGCGTCGTGCAGCAGATGCAGCGCGGAAAAGTTGAGGGGGTGAGGGGAGTTCTTCTTGCGTTCCTGGCGCTTGACCTTTTCGAGGGCCTTGGAGTATGTCTTTTTCTGCTTCTTCGTCTTTTTGTTGATGGTGACCTGGTGCTTGACCTTGGCGAGGTCGACTTCCTCGTCGCTGCTCTCGTCCTCGAGCTCCTCGCGCTCCTTGTCGCCGCCGAGGAAGAAGCGCACGGCGCCGACGACGACCTTTTCATTGTCCGAGAGGGAAGCCTCCTTCATGACGTCGACAGGCTTGGCCTCTGTCCAGATCTGGCGCTTCCACATTTCGCGGGTGATTTTGATGGCCCAGATGGCGCGCGGGGAGGCGCGGTCGGCCGTGACCAGGTTGTAGAGGACGGTCTGAACGGTGCGGTTGAGCGGGTGGTTGATGGACTTTGTGTTGGAGTTGCGCAGATCGCTGAGAATCTTGCTGAAGAGGAGTGCGCGGAGCGACTTGGACGGCGAGGAGACCAAAATGGGAAATAGGGCCTGGAGGACCGTGGCCGAGTCGACGACGTCCTTGCGGCGGAGCATCAGCAAGCTACCGACGATTTTCTCACGAAGTTCCGGGTGAAGAATGGCGTGGTGCTGCGTTAGAATGGTCTCGAGATCGCTGGGGAAGCGGCCCATGACGTCCGGGTAGCAGTCGGCAATGTGCGCCATGAGGTCGACCATGTTGTGGAAGGATTCGATCGAGTCGGCCGAGGCCGTGGTCGGGGAGGTGAGGAAGATGTCGCGCTGAGACTCGTACTGCTCCCATTGTTTCAGAAATTCATCCTTGTATGATCTAGGGAAATGTCAGTGTTTATTTTCTTCATTTTTTTCAGCGCAAACGCCGAGAGGTTAGGTGGACGTACTTGGGATCGCGACGGATCTTGTATTGCAGACTCGCACTGGAGAGAATTAGTACATAACTTATGCTATAATAATAATGGCATGACAAACAAGTCGGCATCGATCTTTTCGAGCGCAGCAACCTTTCTCTTGACCATTTTGTCGGTTTTTTTGCCAAGATTGAACGGTTGGTGAATGGGAGCCACTGCAATGGCGGGCAACTTTTTTTGGTTGCAGAGAAAATTTGGGGTCCTGATAAGATAAGCCGGGCCGCCATCCCGCAAATCCGTCACTAGACACTCCTCCCTCCAAAGCCGGGTACAAAGATGACACAGCAGAGAGAGATTTACTTTATTTTTATTATCTATTCAATTTGTTTTGGTTCTATGATATTGTACTGCAAGCATCCGGTGTGATGACTGTACAATGCTGCAGAAAGTTAATCGCTGCAAGCGGAGCTAGAAAGGTGGTAACCCAACGCCATATTTTTTATCCCAATAGAATGATGAAACCCTCTTCCCGCGTACTAAAGGCAACGGCTTTGGATAAGGAATCGTGAAAAAAAGAAAATTGCTGGAAAGAAAGAAAGAAAAAAGGATGGAGTAGGTGTAAAGAAAGGTATTAGTGCGTAAAAGAAAAACATGCTTTCATATAATTATGCCATTCTCAGTTAAACCAACAGACTCAGCGCCGCCTTTGGTTGAATCGCGATGTTAGAGGAGGTGCTGACTTTTTCGACTTGGTCCTCGTCATGGGGATAGTCATGGGGATAGTCATGGGGGTAGACCCATCCTTGTCTGGTGGCGGTGGTAGTGGTGCGGGGTCATTGTTGATCCAGTCGTCGTAGGCGCCGGAGCGAAGACGGCTCTTGTGGCTCTTGATGCTGCCAACGACACTGCTCTTTGGCAGCGGCGGCGGGTTATTCTTGTCCTCAGACACGACCGTGGTTGTCACCGTCTTGATGATACTCGTCTCAGGCACCGGGGTGAGGTAGCCATCATCGCCGGGTGCCTCGTACCTGCCCTCGACGTCTGTGTGATACGACGTGTTGCAGCTACGGATCGACTGTGCGTCGACCCTGGGCGTTACCGGCGGCGCAATACTTGAGTCGCCAAAGATGCTCTTGTCGCCAAAGGTGCTTTTGTCGCCAAAGATGCTCTTATCTCCGAATATGCTCTTGTCTCCGAAGATGCTCTTGGTGCTGCCGTACTTGTCACCGAAACGGTCGTGGCCCATCGGGGCGGGAGGCTGAAACGAGGCGTAGCCCGAGGAGCCGCCAACTATGTGATGGGCGGCAGCCTCGCCGCCGACGACCTTGGCGATGAGGGAAGTCATGACGAGTTCGATGTAGAGCTTGACTGTGTAGGCAAGCGGCGCAAACTGCACATATCTGTCAAGCAGAGCCAATGTTAGTTAGGTACTGTCAACAAGCTTCAGGTCCAGCCAGTCACGCAACGTGATACTTACACGTAAGGGTCTGAAAGACTAAGCATGCCTAATAACGCGGCATCCATGGCCGTCGACAGGATAATGAGGACCATGTTCATCTTGAACAAGGCCCAGTACTTGGGCAGACCGCCGGCGATGAGGCGGAATCTGACCAGATACAAAAAAAAGCCGTTGAGTCCCAGATCCACGGCCAAGAAGAAGCTCTTTTCAAACTTTTCAAAAATGTCGTTGAGGCGCTTCTGTCGCGGCGAGGCGTCGGGCAGGTGGGCTGGGATCCAGATGATGTACACGCCGACATTGACGGCGAGAATGAGCGCAAAGAGGCCCCCGCGCATCCACGCGGCCCGTTTCCGATTGACCATGATGAGGGACACGCGATTGGCAATAATTTGGGACAGAATTTGGGTCTGCAGCGCCCACAGCGTGACTGTGCCAAAGTAAAACGCAAACGTGCCCGGTAGCAACTCCTCGTAGTATAGAATCGTAATGACGGCAAAAACGAGGTTGACGAGAATTTCGGTCCAAATCATGTAGAGATAGCCATTCTGCCAGCTCCAAGCGCGGCTGCGCTGGACTATTCTCCGCGTCTGCTTGCAGATTTCCAGCAGCGTAAAGGCAAACGCGCCGAGAAAGGCGCCAAAGTAGAGCGAGGGCAGATGAATCATGTTGGTGGACTTGAGCAGCAAACTTTCTTTTGGGGCGAACTTGGGAGGCTCTGACGAAAACTCATATGTTGCATTCCATTGCTCGAAATTTTCGCGCTCTCCTTTAAAATTTTACTTTGGTTGAGGGTTGGCGGTGGAGAGTCGAGGATGGTGGTGGTTCACAGGAAGAAGACGCAGCGGGAAAGGTGGTAACGGGATGGGCGTGGCAGACTGGGATGGTTGGACGTGTATGAAAACCAAAAACAAACCATTTGGATCGGGGTGAGTGAAAGAGGTGAGGAGGGGTGCAAAACGGCAAGGACGCAACTGGGAAACCGTGTTACGCGTAGGAAACTAGGCACCCGCTCAGTACGGGAGGGAAGACTGGTTGGGCCTCCAACTCCAACATGGTTTCTTGGGGTGGCCAATCTCTAGGCGGCTTTGAGCTGAGCAGTGAGCACAGAGGATGATGTGCGGGAACAATAAAGCCGAGGATGATGATTTTCCCGATTGGGATTTGCACATCACAATCACTGCACAGATCCTTCAAGGTCAATCTTCAACAGGGGGGGGCGGCCCCTTGTTCACGCCTGATATCCTTGGGGGGGGTCGTATATTAAATCTTGGAGATCAGTTATCCATCTCACAGCGCGCACATTTACTGTCTTGCTTTTTACGTTGTCTCCCATGCTCTCAAAGTCTTTTACTGTATATTCTTTTCTCGCATTTCGATTTGCTTCATTCATACGCAAACATTCACTCGGAAATCTTTGTCTGGGCTGATCTGTAAAGGAAAAATCGGCCCAGTGTGGACCACGGTCAAAAACTCTATTATGTCTTGTCCTGAATTAGAACAAAGCGTGGCCAAACGGGCGGGAGAGGCTTTTTTTAATGTGTTTGCCTTTCCCCGTCCGCTGCAGTGTGCCCAGCATGAACAAAAAAGACGCGTTGGCCAACTTGGCGGGCACAAGGTTTTTCACTTGATGCCTCAGTCGACCAATGACGCAGAGCAAGCAACACGAGAAGCATAAATAACAGAGAAAAAAAAAAGACAATAGGCACGAATGGGCATGAACAACGGGGGCCCAACTTTTTTTTCAGCAGGAAAAAAGAGGATCACGGCGATCAGACCCTTTCCCCCCTTCCCCTGGCATGGCAGTTGGTTGGTTGGTTTGGTTGGGGTGAACGGATCCGCTCGAGTTGGCGTCCCCCTTCGGTTTCAGAAAATGGGCGAGCTCACAGTAATAGATGGCATTTTCTTCGTGTCTTTTGTGCTAGTTTTGAAATACATGCGCAAGTCTCTTTGGGTTTTGCAGTGTCAGCTTTGGGCTTTTTTTTGTGTTACGCGACTTGGGACGTGAACACGTGGACGGGCGATCCAAGGAGGAGAAGGAGGGAGGGGGGGCGGTTATGAGAAAAATGGGCAGCAATTTATAAAGCACGCGGAGAAGCTGAATTCTCCGATACCACCTCACAACTCAGTCCTGCTAATCTTGGAGAAATCACGAGCTTGATCATGTTGGTTCACGGTGATGATGCTACCGTACGCTACCCATCACTTCACATGTATCCACTTATGCTACACCGTACAGCCGGTACAGCCGGTAAAACACAAACAAATCCTCAGATTCATCCATCGAAATCATGTTTATCTTCTCTTTTCCCTTCATCATTTTGATTGTGCAACTTGACAGTTTTACACCTTGTTCAACGTCGCCCACCTTTTGCGGTCAGATCAACCAACTCTCCACCCCGACAAGCCTGGATCATCCCTGCGAGCCATGAGGCCATTCTTCGTATGATGACAACTTTGTACAACGAACAAAGCGCCATTGTTCCTTTTTTTTTTTTGTGTGTGTGTGTATCTTGCAGGAGAGAAACAGATCGCTGTTGCCTTGTCGTTCTTCCCGACACCTCCGCGCAGGCACACGTAATGTTTTCTCTTGATTTGCCCTCCTTGTCTGGTTTTTTCTCACTTATCCTGGGGGTCGTTTATCGAGTCGCGCCCGTCGGGTAATCAAATCTAGCTAAGCTCTGCCCTGTCCATATAAAGTAAGATCTTGGGGAGCCTACGTATGTAGTGCGTAGTTTCTTCTTCTCGTCTACCGCACCACGCCCGACGGCCCGACTTGAATGTCCTTGCTGCAATTTACAATCGAGTCACACGTCCGACTCTGCGCCTTGATCCATCGACTTCCAACACCTGAACGCAGTTGTCAAATCAATTCACAGTCTGATAATTAGGCCCCAGCAAGGTGGCTGTACCTCTGCGTCACTGTGTTGCACTGTTCGAATAGGCGCCCTGTCAGCACCCGGTTTTTCTACCTGTGTATCCATACGGATATTTCGTACAGAGTACGTACTCGGCAGTTGTTCCCCTCGTTGCCGGAAATTGTCACCGTACCCCTGGTCTAGTACACCGACGCAAGGCTGCAGGACCACGCATCGACCTTTGTCATGTGAGGCGCGCCCATCCGGGTAGCTGCGTCGGCAACGGCAACATTGCGTTTTACCAAACATTGACTTTTGATTTCAAGATTGGGTAATATTACTTGTATTCGCTATCAAGGATTCGTCAGGGACCTGACTGATCTACAGAATTTGTCGTCTATTCCATTCGACCCATTCTTCCATTCTTGCAGACTCCGTCTAACTAGATACCGGCCGCCTTGAAAGACTGTTCAAAGTCGGCAATGATGTCATCAATGTGCTCAACACCAACCGAGATTCGAATGAGATCCTGAGTTAAAAAAGTTAGTGGCTGGATTGCTCGCGGGGCAAATGGGCGGCACTGACCTCGGTGACGCCAGAGCTTGTCTTTTCCTCATCGGAAAGCTGTTCGTGGGTAGTGCTCCACGGGCTACCAAAACGTTAGCAAAATGCTCTCTTCCAACCATACTATTTACAGAACAAAGCAAACATACTGAATAGCCAAAGTCTTTGCATCACCGACATTGGCGAGGTTGGAGATGAGCTTAAAGTTGTCGACAACCTTGGCACCCTCGGCGACGCCGCCCTTGACGCCAAAATTCAGCACGCCTCCGAAACCCCTCTTGAGATACTTCTTGGCCGTCTCGTGCGACGGGTGGCTGGCCAGGCCCGGGTACGAGACCCAATCGACCTTGTCGCTCTTCTCCAGGTACCGGGCCAGGGCGAGGGCGTTTTGGGCGTGGCGCTCGGCGCGCAGCGACAGCGTCTCGGTGCCGAGCAGCAGCTGCTGGGCGGCAAAGGCGTTGAGGTAGGCGCCGAGGTCGCGCACAATCTCGACGCGCGCGCGGACGATGAAGGAGAGGGCGCCAAACGTCTCCCAAAACTTGAGGCCGTGGTAGCCGTCGGACGGCTCGATGAACTGCGGGAAGCGCGCGGCGTTGGCGCCCCAGTCAAACTTGCCGCTGTCGACAATGACGCCGCCGACGGTGGTGCCGTGGCCGCCAATCCACTTGGTGGCCGAGTGCACGACAATGTCGGCCCCATGATCAATCGGACGCACAAAGTAGCCACCAGCACCAAACGTGTTGTCAACCTGCGCGTATCAAGATTAACGTCTTTGCCAGTTTTTTTTTTACGTCGTTCTCTCCTTTCTTTTTCTTCTTCTTCTTTTTCTTCTTCTTCCCTGTCCCCATCAAGACTTACCACAAGAGGAACTCCCTTGGCATGCGCAACCTTGGCAATGGCCTCTAGGTCAGGCACGTTGTAGCGTGGGTTACCGATACTCTCGACGTAGATGGCCTTGGTCTTGTCGTCAATCAGAGCATCAATCTCGTCGGGGTTCTCGCCGTTGACGAATTTGGTCGTGATTCCGAGGCGCGGCAGGAAAACTTTGAACTGGTTGTACGTGCCGCCGTAGAGGTTCGAAGTCGAGATGATGTTGTCGCCGGCGTGCGCAAGCGTGTTGATTGTGATGAATTGAGCGCTCTGGCCAGACGAGGCGGCGAGACCGGCAACACCGCCTTCGAGGGCAGCAATGCGCTTCTCAAACACATCGACAGTAGGCTACATGATGTCAAATCCCTTTGTTTTTCTTTTTTTTTCTTCGCTCACAGGCGGGGCCCGGGGGAGAGCAACGTACGTTCATGATTCGGGAGTAAATGTTGCCAGGCTCCTTGAGGCCAAACAGCCTCGCGCCATGAGCAGAGTCCTTGAATGTAAAGCTCTATCGCCGAGTCAATTGATGCAGCTCGCATTGCCGTGTTGCTATTCTTACAGTTGTAGCATAAATAGGCACGGCGCGCGCATTAGTCGCGGGATCAGGCTCCTGGCTGTAAATATCGTTGTAAGCTAGCGGACGACATCATTTGACCCAGGCGATGACTCTTCCAAGGTTCTAATAGTGCTTCTGCGAGGAGCAATGTCTACATACCCAGCATGGAGCTGAAGCGTCTCAAAGTTTTTGCTGATTTCCTCGGCCATGATGAATGCAAGTCGTCGAATGCTTGTTAGTTACTGGGAAAAAAAGGTACAAACGAGCTCGGCGTATGTATGCAAACGTATAATCTAGCGCAGGTACAATCTATCCAGAATGATTGCGGACAGGTATAATGGAAGAATGAGAGGGTGCACGTTATAAGGAGGAAAATGTGATGCGACCTCAGCCGTCATTAATACCCCTCATCTGCCGGCCATCAATTGCAAAATCTCCCGGCCCCTCCCCGATTTTCACCCGCCACCTTTTTGCTTTCGCACGTTGGACAGCAACGCGTGAAGGTGCATCGAAGGGCTTGCATGGAGAAGTACTTGAAGTGGGGTTCCGGTCAACCTTCTTGCACCAAAAGCACGCCATCGACATCAATCACAGTTGGCAGACTGCGTAACCGGACCAGTAGGTCGCGTCATTTTAGACAGTCTGTCAGAGTGGTCAATAGCTAGTAATTAGAGCACAAGTTTACGCGAAAGTATATCTTGTTTTCCGGAAGCTGATTGAAGCGCACATCGAAGCGAAGCCACTAGCCGAGGGGGCGGGGTTTGCGGTCGCGTAACTATGTGATGTGCGACAAGGAAACTCTTCTCGAAAATGAGCCGACTAAGCTAGTTAGAAGGCTAGTAGTAATACTTCTGTGTAAATATGCAGCAACTCCATCTCGCGGAGACGATTTTATAAGTTGGGCGCGGCACGCGCTCAGTTAGGCATCGCATAACTATGACAGCTTGCGTGGAGACGTTGAGCAACCAGTCTGGACCCCAGAGCTGGGCTGCATATATTGCCTCGATCTTACTACTGTACGCTGGCTGGCTGGGTCTGCCAAGTCATTACTGGTAATGAGTGGCTGTTGCCGACAAAGACTCAGCAACCCTCCATCTCGAATGCATGCAGTGAAACCTGCAGACGGGACAAGGCTAGCAGATCGAGGTTCGGCAGAAGAATGCGAGATGAATAAACAATCAATCCGTATGCTTACGCAATGACTCTTCTGTACTGCATTGCCGTGATTGGTGAATATGTACCGGACACGGGATGAATTTGATCGTCGACATGACTCGACACTAAACGCTCATTGAATGCGAATACATTTTCATGCAAACGTGTTTTCCCAATTCAATCCAAACCGCCACAAAATTTCAAGCCTCCCCTCCTTCCCCTCCTTTGCTTCCATCTGCGGCCATGGAATCTTTTAGAATCTCGCATTCGCTTCGGTCATCTGGCGGCGCGCCGCCGTAACCTTCTTCATGTGCGCCTCGCTCCGAAACCACTCCTGGGCCGCAAAAATCGTCGACGCGATCCAGGCGCTAAACTCGGCGGCCGCAATCACGGCCACGGCCCGGCTGAGCGTGCAGCTCAGCCCCGCCTCGCACGCCGTCGACGAGTCGCTCAGCGTCAGCGCAAAGGCAATGAAGCCGCCAAAGTAGAGGATCGCGTTGAGGCCCTCGACGCCCATCGACGTCAGCCGGTGGGCCATGATCATGCGCTTTTGTCGCACGGAAAATTCGAGGTAGCCAATGGAGAGGATGGACACGCAGGGCGCAAAGACGAGAAATTGAAGAGCGCCGGGGCTCGATCGGTCGGCGACGCGGGAGTACCAGTTGTAGACTTTTTTTTTCAACCACCGCCCGCCTTTGTTAGTATTCGTTTCGGGGGAACACCCGCCACGGGCAGAAGAGAGAGAAGATAGACTTACCATAGGCAGACAATGTCAGATTGGCCAAAGCCAATAGGCCTTGCAAAACACGGAGAATGATGATGCCCGTGCGATCCATTGTTGGCACGAGAAACTTGTAACCAAAAGATTGAGGCTAGAAGTAAAAATAAAAAAACTCGAGAATAATTTTTTGACTGACGGTCCTTTGATTTGTTTTGTTTTCTTCTTGCCGTTTGATTCGATTGTCCGTTTGTTCGTCTGTGGAGAGGGTCTTGTTGACAGTGTAAGTTGTCTGGCATGTGGATTTGAACCAGAAGCCTACATCCAATTATGCACCAAATCGACACGATGACTAGATTACATGGTAGTGATGGGGCTCAAGAAAAATGGTATAGATCAACCAGTTTATAGTCTGATCTTTTCGGTTTTGGGCGAGCGATACTGCAAGTCGGCCCTTTCCGTAGGCATGGGGGAGCCATTGTTGCGCGTTTGAGACTTGGGGGCCGGCTCAGGTATGCAAGTTGATGAGGGGCCAACGAGCGCAATCTGCAATTAAGGGACAGGGCAGAATTTGCAGTGTCAATCCAGAGCCAAATTTATTAAAAATCTTCAAGCTTAAAAAAAAAAACCTGAATACCGCGTAAGATCAAAATGTAGCCGTACTAACGGAGCAGAATCCCTGCTACTGTTAACAAGTAAGGTCAAGCGGGCAAAAAAATGCGTGATCTGGGAATCGAACCCAGGGCTCCCCGACGTTGCGGATGGCAACGGAGAATTTTACCACTAAACCAATCACGCTGATTGTCGTTGTTTAACCATGGAGAATTTCGAAGCTTATTTAATATTAAGTTTTCCTCAAGTAAAGTCAGGCCATTCTAGGGTAGTTGTACTTTCGGCGTGAACGTGCATGTTTGGACTTGAGTTCGATCGCTCAACATAACTAGTCACAACATCTATGGGTGTGAGAGTATAGAAGAAAATTCACCATGCCTGCTGCAGTACGTGATTCTTTGCATGTCATCGTTGGACGTCAGCTGTTACTTTGTATGGGCGCAGAGATACCAGTAACAGATTACTGTCGGTAAGCTGTCAGCATGTGAAGATGAATAAGTCGGTCGCGGGCTGCAACGGGCCGCTCCCAGCTGGCCGGCTTTGTTTGACAGGAAAAATCGAACAATGGTAATCGAACAATGGTACATAAACAGTGCACAACAACATATTCCGGGTTGATCATCGCCATCCACAGCGTCAATACCGCAACAGCTATCGAGCTCAAGGTCCCCGAATCTAATTTGCTCCATCACCCCCGGTGTCTCGGCTCAGGACGGCCAGCGCTGCTGTGGACACGCCTTGTTGCATCTAGCAAACCCCGCGCCATCCCGTCGATGGGACACGCGGGGAACGAGAAGGGCAGTTAAGCATCGAGTGTACCTGTGAAAGTCCGATTATTAGAGTTACAATACCGAGTACGGAGTACGGACTCTCGGCCTGCGCATTCGACCCGCTGCCGCTGCCCCAAAAGCCACCGAGCCAGCCGCACGTTGGAGCAGCGCCAAAGGGAGTGAGCGGCCTAAATACTTCGTAGAAACATGTGGGCGGGCCTCAAAGTCGATGGCAAATCGAATCGGCCGGTCCTCCCACCCCTCGTTTTTTTAAGAACCGAGACAACGCGCCGGAGTTACACATCGCGGACCTTTTGCTTCTCTGAATCGTCTACCACCCGCCGCCAAAGACTGCGCCAGATATCCATCATCAACTAGCGTGTCGCGAGTGCTTCTGTACCCAATCAAACCAATCTCTTCTTTCCCCTGACAGAAGACGTACCAAGCGGCCCCAGTTCGCGTTGCTGCTGCCGAGGCACCCCATAACATCCCCGTAACCTCGGCCAGTGCTAGTGTGGGTAGTGCCCCGGACTTCATGACCAATTTGGGCGCAAGACCTATGAACGTTTTGGCTTGCGTCTGCATCAAAAGATCCAATCGTCGGCCCCTTCTCTCTGACATTCCTGCGTCTTTTCTCTTGTCCAAAGACAAGAAGCGAGTTTGTCATCTTTCTGAGTTTCCCCCCCTCGCCTGACTCGATTGAAGACACTTGCGTCTTTCTTTTCTTTTGCACCCTTTTCGTCGCCCGTAGGTTTGCACCTTCGCCCGCCCGCACGCTTGGCCCGCCCGCATCGGCTCAACGAAACCCGCGCATGGCTAATCTAGTCTTGTCATAGATTCCTCAACACAACATCGCAGCCATGGCTCCTCAAACCGCCGAACAGATCATTGCCGACATCAGCGCGCCCCCGCCAGTCGGCACTCCTCATGCTCTTCCGATCCCCGGCTCCGAGCGCCCTAATCGCACCGCCGTCTATCGCCATTGGCGCTTCCGCGACCAACCACTCCTGACCAAGCTCGAGCCCGAAGTTGAGTCCGTCCACGACCTGCTCGAGCTCGCCATCAAGAAATATGGTAATAGGAAGGCGCTCGGTGTGCGCAAGTGGAATCCCGCCACGCAAGAGCACGAGAATAAGTTTGAATTCATGACATACGCAGAGATGGGCGAGCGCCGCAAGAACCTCGGTGCTGGTATTATCGACGTTGTTCAGCAGGCCGGCTACACCAACAGCAAATTTGGCGTTGGAATATGGTCTCCCAACACTCCAGAGTGGCATCTGACCGGTGAGTGCTGATGATCTCTCGGTTTGACGCTTCAGCTTTCTAATAACACTTACCTCAGATATGGCCTGTACCTCGCAAAGCTTGTTCAGTGTTTCTCTTTACGAGACACTCGGCCCCGACACTACCGAGTATATCATCAACCACGCCGAGCTCCCCGTCGTTGCTTGCTCGGCCAACCATATTCCCGTCCTCATCAAGCTCGCTTCCCGTGTGCCCACTTTGAAGATCATCGTCTCGCTGGACGCCTTGGACAAGGGCGAGCACAAGGACAAGAATCCCGGCAACATCCTGAAGAACATCGCCGCTGAAAGTGGCCTCAAGCTCTATGAAATTCAGGAGCTCGAGGAGATTGGCCTCAAGAGCGGCCGCGGCTTCCGACCCCCCACTTGGAACGACCTTACCACAATCAACTACACGTCTGGCACTACTGGTCCTCCCAAGGGCGTCGTCATGCACCAGGGCAATGCCGTCGCGGCTATCAACGGTGCCCGCTCCATGGGTAACGTGCAGGCCAACGACATTCACATATCGTACCTGCCTCTTGCCCATATCTACGGACGCATGATTGACCAGCTTGCTCTCGTCTCCGGCGCCGCTGTCGGCTTCTTCCGTGGTGACGTCCTCGGTCTTGTTGACGATCTGAAGCTCCTGAAGCCCACATCCTTCCCGTCTGTCCCTCGTCTCTTTAACCGTTTCAACTCGGCTATCAAGGCCGCTACCGTTGATGCCCCCGGTTTCAAGGGTGCTCTCTCTAGACATGTAATCGACGTAAAGAAGGGCTACATGCGCCAGCCTCCCGGAAGCACCACCAACACACACTTCTTCTACGACAGACTATGGACCAAGAAGGTTCGCGCCGCTGTTGGTCTTGACAATGCCCGCTCTATGATTAGCGGCAGTGCCCAGCTCGACCCCGATGTCCAGGAGTTCCTCGGTGCTGCTTTTGGAAACGAGTTCCGCCAGGGCTACGGCATGACTGAGACGTATGCCGGAGCTACTGTCCAGCTCAGCCGCGATTACTCTGCTGGCAACCTGGGACCTCCTCTTCCCTGCCTGGAGCTTTGCCTCGAGTCTGTCCCCGACTACAACTACAGCGTCGATGATAAGCCCAACCCGCGCGGTGAGGTTCTCATGCGCGGTCCTACCCTGTTCCAGGGCTACCACAAGAACGACGAGGAGAATCAGAAGGTTCTCGAGGCCGACGGTTGGTTCCACTCTGGCGACATTGGTGAGATTGATAGCCTTGGCCGTCTTCGCATCATTGACCGCAAGAAGAACGTTCTCAAGCTCGCCCAGGGCGAGTACATTTCTCCTGAGCGTATCGAGAACGTGTATCTGGGCAACACCAACATTGTTGCCACCGCTTACGTGCACGGTGACTCCAAGGAGTCTACCCTCGTTGCCATCTTCGGTGTCGACCCGGAGAACTTTCCTCCCTTTGCTAGCAAGGTTCTCGGCAGAACTGTTGCCGCCGGCGATGTCGCTGGCATTAATGCTGCTGCCAGGGAACCCAAAGTCAAGGAGGCTGTCCTCAAGGTGCTCGACAAGATTGGCCGCGGCCACAAATTCAACAACTGGGAGCGCGTTCGCAACGTTCACCTGCTCCTCGACCCCTTCACGCCCGACAATGGCCTGTTGACTCCTACGTAAGTTGACTGAATTCGCAAAAAATCACTCACTGTACTAACGTGTAACACTTAGACTCAAGCTCAAGCGCCCGCAGGCCGCCAAGGCTTTCCGCGAAGATATTGACCGCTTGTATGCAGAGATCAAGGCCACCGAGGAGCCTAGCAAGTTCAAGCTGTAAATACGATTATGATGCACGGACGAAGAGAAAATCTGAAGGATAGAGAAGGCCACTTGTACAATCTTGGCTGGCGGCTGCGCCCTTCATTGTATGCTTAGCGAATTACTAGAATTATGGGGGAGATTTGATGTCCTGTGATTAAATAGAAGAGCTCTCAACTTGAGACTACTATCCATCTTCATGTTTGTCATCGATCTGGTGAAATTTGGTACTATCCTCGCAAACAAGCCTCCGGGCGGCGTGTACAGCACCTGCGTCTTATATTTCACCCACTCGCCCTCGAGGCCTTACAGGTTGCGGGGGTATAGTGCTCGTTCTATATGGTTTGTATAGTTCCGAAGTGGAAAAGTTTCCACACCTGCCACGATAAGCATCTCTGACGTGCATATTGGCAGTGACACGGTTTTGAGAAAGGGCTAGATTTTATCTCTGACATGCGTTTCTTATGATGTGCCTTGCCTGGAATGACAGTGCCTTTAGCAGCGCGCGATCCGCTGCTTTTAGCATTGACGCATATAAGAGTATGCATCCCGGATATGGCGGCTCGTATGCGAGCGAGCGCCGCGGCTCAAGATTAGCAGTGACGGTCTGCTGGTTAACACCGTTAAGCGTAGAAATGACCCAAATAGAGGCTGTCAGACACGATGTCATGCGGCAAGTTTTTTAACTCTGGTACGCGCGAAGTGGTGCTGAAGAACTTTATCACCGATGCCTTTCTTCAAGATATTGGTGCGCGGTGCTGTAACTTGAGAGAGCTGCACATTAATAGCCGCCGCTACGGAAGGCTTGAAGTATGCGACGCTCAGCCACGTCCTCTTCCATCGACTAGGCTCGGTCGAGGACATTGCCATCCTGTCCCTCTGCTCCTCGGCCCTCTCTTTAATGCGATCGAATGGCTGTTTTCGCGATGGCTGTGTTGGGTACGGCATCATTGAACGGGTGGAGCAGCGACGAAGAGGCTAGCGAGGACTACGATAGAAACGAATACACTACATAGCCATGGTAATGAAAGTAGTGGCGAAGATGGCTGAGATGAAAGGCATTATGGGATATGAAATCCACTCGATCCGCGGGGTTTTGCGCCGGAACCCCGCGTTGAATCTTGGGTAAGACTCTTGTGGGCCCTGTTTATAGCATGTGACCACTGTAAATGTTAAAAAAAATGGACGCGCCACTTTTGTAGCGAAATACCTAATCCCACTCCCTTATATCACAACAGTGAATAGCACTAAACCTACCAGTATTTCACCGCAACCACTGCGTAACCTACTAGATTGCTTGATGCGGCTAGTTTCCTACAGAAATATAGACATAACGAGTGCGAAATTAACTCGACACCATTGATGAGCAGTGACAATAAACGGGGTGAAGTCTGTTTGGTCTTCATTCCTCGGCAATAAGCCTGTGTCTCATCATCTCATGTGTCTTATGTCTTATGTGCCTTATGTGGTATCCGTCCGTAAGAAGGCGTGACGCAGGGAGGCATTATGCTTAATCATGCCGGCACTGAGCTGTAGGCCGACGCTATGCTATGACTGGAAAATTTGTGAAACTACTTACGACATCCGTTGATCCCGTCGCTACACAAAGCAAGAACAAGGCATTTTAGGCTGCTAATCTACCTGCTGGCACACTGCTTGGGTCCCTTGCTGCCGTCCATTGCTTCGTCATGGCTATGCCGCTAGCACGATGCAGGTTTATGCTCCTGCTACTTTACTCCATACCGAGCGCAAATCCCGTCCATCGCAGTAAATCAGCAATGGTGGGAGGCCGAGAGTGATTATGTGATAATCATCTTTCAGAGTTGCAGCAGCAGTAACCCCAAAGCTTCCCTGAGGCTTCCTACTGGCGTCTTGTTACAGAAGCTTTGCTTGGCGCCCCCCGCCACTACTACCCCAGCGTCTTGGTCTTGGCTTTAGAGCACGACGCCACAACGCCTGTCGATAGCGACGCGGACGAAATAGGTAGGTAGGTAGGTAGGCATGGACAAAGCGACGGGTGGATGGATAAGCTTGTGTCAGGCGTTACAAGGCAGGAATGCATTTCTTTGTGCCGCCGACCAATTAAAAGGTTAAACTAATCTCCGCGTTCTCCTCTTTCTTCTTCTCCCGCTTGCCTATTCTCTCCTTATCTCAACTATTGAACCTTCGCGGCTAGTTCTTCGCAGAAGCACCACGATGATGTTATTACAGAACCTCGTCGTTGCCATCGCCGCGGTTGCACAGACAACCGCCGCCACGGCCTGTCCCGGGCCAGCACCAGCCTCGAACCCTCAGACTGCCGACGGCGTTGCCTTTAAAGTCTTGCAGAATGGTCTCGCTAAGCCGCGCGGCGTCGTCATGGACTCGGAGGGCAACCTGCTCGTGGTCGAGGCAAAGGGCAAGGGGGTGACCCGCGTAGTTCTCGATGACGCTGAAGGCCTCGATGTCTGCGTTTCGTCCAGCGCGCAGCTGATTGACGACAGTACTGTGAGTTGTGAATGATGACATTTGCTATATACAGTATAAAGCGTAGATTAGTTGAAGGAGGCCCACTGACCCCATGGGCAGCTCAACCACGGCATCGCGCTGTCCAGCGACGGCAAGACGCTGTTTGTCTCGTCGGACTCGAACGCTTATGCGTACCCCTATGACGCCTCCAAGGGCACTGTCGGAAACGCAAAGCACCTCATCAAGGGCATGAAGCAGACCGGCCACGTCTCCCGCACGCTGCTGGTGCCCCGCCATAACTCGGATCTGCTGCTCGTGTCGCGCGGATCCGACTCGAACATTGACAAGGAAACGGCCGAAATCTCTTCCGGGCGCAGCCAGCTACGCATATTCAAGATTCCAGACCTCGTCAAGGACGGCGCGGAGGCGGTCGAGTACACTGCCGGCGAGGTGCTGGGTTGGGGTTTGCGTAACAGCGTTGGGGTTGCGGACGACCCGACAAACGGCCACATTGTGAGTCTGCACTCTTTGCGTGCACAACCGCGAGGAAGCAAACAGAGAAAGCAAACAGAGGAAAGCGATAAGAAATGCTGACTACTAGGCAAGTGGACTGTTGAGAACTCGATCGATAACATGGAGCGCGAGGGCACCGACATTCACAACTCTAACCCTGGCGAGGAGCTCAACTTTCACGGTCTGCCCAACGACACCTCGAGCGCGCAATATGGTCGCAACTTTGGCTACCCCGGCTGCGTTGCCATCTACGACCCCAGCAACGTCAAGAGCTTTTCCATCGACGGCGGCCCGAAAGTTGGCCTACAGATGACGGGCGATCACATCACCGGCTACACGGACGACTGGTGCCGCGAGAACGCGACTGCGCCGCATCTCACCTTTGGATCTCACCTGGCGCCTCTCGATATCAAATTTCTCAACGACGGTAGCGCGGCGCTACTTGCTATTCACGGAAGCTGGTAGGATTTCTAGACCCTCTCCAATGACACATCCAAATCACTGACATGAAGGGCCAGGAACCGCCAACCCCCCAACGGATACAGACTCAGCCGCGTCAGCTTTGCCGACGGACAGCCCGTGGCCAAGGCAGACAGCGACGACGCCGAGGAGAAGCTCCTGTGGAACGCCGACAACGCCGAGTGCCCCAGCAAGTGCTTCCGCCCGGCCGGTCTCTGGCTCGACGGCAAGGGGCGCACCTTTATGACGAGCGACAGCTCCGGCGAGCTCTTTGTCGTCACCGGCGTCAGTAACAATGGGCCCAAGGCCAAAGTGAATGGCGGAGACCAGACCTCTGGAGCTGAGCGCAGCATGCGTAAACAGTTTGGGTCCTGGCTGTGGTAAAGACTGGCCATTAGAGCCTTGACATGATGTGAACGACTGATTAACGCGTGTGCTGATTTTGCTCTTGGTCTGCTCTGTTGCTGGTTGCCTTGGTGGCTAGTTACGCGGCTTAACTGCGTAAATATGTATATAAAGACCCTAACCCTCTTTTCGGCCAGAATGATTACACAGTTATCGCTTATTACCTATTTACAAGATCTATAATTTTTTCTCTAGCGGGGTTTTTAGCGATTCGCTAAGTAATTAGTTTTAAACTTCACGCGACCCTTAAAAGCCATCAAATAGAAGAACAGGCTTAATACAAGCCAGACCAAGCTAATCATGCGAAAAATGCTTCTAAGACTGCCTTAGATATTATATATTTTATTTTAGAACCCCTTTAAACCCGCCACGAATTCTAAACTGTGGTTGCTTGCCCTCTGAGCTTTTGCGCTGCTATTCACCTATCAGCGGCACCAGCAAACTGCATGCTGCGTGAACACGCGCTGCGCGTTTGTACAACTCATTGCGCATTTATCAAAGTGCAATTGCAGCGCTTTGAATACGCCCTAATAAACGTTTTATAGGATTGCTCCCTGAAGATAGATGATTTACAACATGCCTTGATATTATATATATCGCCTACACTTTCGACTATATTCGCTATAGGGCACGTGCTTATTTACCATAACTTCTATTTAGGCCTATTCAATTAAATACTATTTAAATGATTACTAGCTATTCTTTTACTCTTTAGGCTATGATTACATATTTTAAGAATTATTCTTTCGTCTTTATAATATTCCTAAGCCTGATCTTTATAAACATACCAGGCTTATAAGTGGGTCCTTACAGCCAGCTCTAGCGTACCCTAAACTCCTTGAGAATGACTAATCTTATAGGCGCTAATATAACTTCGTTCTGTGGTAGCAACGCCCCGCACCTCCTTAGATCTCTTAGGAAAACGAGCAGACAACCATTAACAACGCCGGCGAGGATTAGGACGCGTTTAAAGCACCAAAGCCACGCGATTCCGGCTCAGAGCCTGCGTATGCTTCACCTAAGATTGTTTCCCGGCGTCATCAGTTGGCTGTTCGCTTCCCGTCGGTGCATGTCGCGCCAGGCGTGACGCGCATCTGATTGCCTGCGATATAGCGCCATCGCAGCAATGAACGCACGTCGTAGAGGCAAGCTCTGGTATACCGGGCCGAAATTCAACGATCCTAATGTTACCAAAGGCGTTATCAATTTGGTCTCAAAGGATCTTGCACGTCATCCTCCCAGCAGCAGCAGCAGCAGCCAGCCCGCCGGCGGCGGCTCCTCCAAGCACCGGCAGGTGGAGATGGAATCAGAGGAGGATGGACCGGCGGCCAAGAGACAGCGGCTAACGAACTCGAACCCTCGCAAAGACAAGTATATGACGGAGTTGCGCACGCGGCTGCTTCCGCATGTCATAGTTGCGGTGAATACATTACCACCCACCGGGCTCACACTGCCCGAGATTGCCATCGATGTATGTATATATATATATCCTGTCAAAAGGCGGACAGCCAGATTTGGCGAAATCACGATAACATGTGCTAATGCTCTTGACTAGTCTGCCACGATATTAGCTAAGCGCTTTCTAAGCAGGATTGGTAACGATCCCAATCAGCTCATACCTGATGATGCCGCGACGACAGAGCAAGAAGCCTTAGAGACGGTCCAACAACTGTCTTTATTACCTGTGAGACCGGTTTATGTATGCCCAACCAGGAAGCAACAGACCACTAACTGTTAATACAGAAATACCGCGTTGCTGAGCCGAATAATGATGTGCCCGTGGTCATCAAGCAAGAACAGAAGGCATTGCCTTCAAATGGTCAAGTCCCGCCAGTCTCTGCAAGCCATGCAGTCTCTGAAGCGTCTGAAGTGTTCCAGACCCCTGCAGTTTCTGTAGCCTCTGTAGTTCCTGCACGGCCTACTACCTCTGGTCTCACGCCAGCACAGACGCGAAGACGGTGCAGCCGCCCTTTGCGCAAGCCTTACAAGCCACGCATCAGGAGGGAGACATCACCGCGGCCTGATCCTCTGTGGACGCGATTGGCCCTGAGGCCATATCATTCCACACAAGAACGCGATGCGCTTCAACAAGGAATCCGGTTTGCGTATGCAAAGGCTGAACATCTTCGCAACAAGCCGGCGGTCTATCATGTTGATTTTTCAGCTATTGAAATTGCTATCATGGTCGACGAGATAAATCGCCGTGTTAAAGTCGCCGCTCCCCGCACCAGCGTTGGGCTGCGGCAGCAGTGTCTGGCTTACCCCGTGCCAGACCTTGTGGAGGGGAAGCTGCCCGGTCGCACGGAGCAGGACATTCAAAGATTCTGCTCCGATTTACTGGCTAACGAGGCTATGGACCCTAAGAGCGCCAGGATTTTCTCCCTCCACCGAGAGGCTACGCGGGAGATCAAGGACCATGAGCGGGAGAGCCAGCTCTCATCGTTGCTCTTTGCCCGAGAGCTTGCGGGCAATGCTGGCATGGGCCGGACACGGCGCTACATAAACTTCCAATGCAACTTCAAACAGATACGGGAGGATGCTTTTGAGAACGCCATTGGCCAGTTCGCCGAATTCACCAACTGTGCCGGGGACATTATGACAATGACTTGGATCCCGCACCAGAATATTCTCTGCGGCACGACGACGCATTCTGACGCTCACAATCAACAATATAATAAGGCGGGCAATCTGCTCCTCTGCTCGACATCGAAGGCTGATTTGCGAGCGTTTCCTGATCACCGGATCCCTCGACCACTCGTCACCAAGGGCGAGAATTCTTCCGATGCGATGCGTGAGAGCCAAGACCCATGGATATACTCGTCGGTGGTATCGTCAGACTACGATAAAGTACATGGCTTTGCGTACACTTCGAGTTTCGACAAGACCATCAAGGTATGGAAAGTGGACGAGGATGGCGGTTCCATGCAAGCCGTCGCGACGTTTGAGCATAACGGCAACGTCAACTTTGTCGCGGTAGCCAAGGACGGCTCCGGCCGCGTTGCTGCAGCTGCGGATACGAAAAGTGAAGCTATCCGCATCTACACCATGGACCCGAACAATATTGCCGAGAGCTCATACTACTCGATATCCTGCTCACGAAACGATGCTGATGGGTCCGACAAGTGGGCATATTGCCCGGCGACAGTTGAATGGGGAATTGCACCCGGTACGCAGCATCTCCTCCTCGTCGGCTATTCTCCACGCAGCTTCAGCGGCGACGAGCAGGATATTCCCAATGACAAGCTGCAGACTGGCGAAATCATGCTGTGGGATGCACGGGATCGCCGCAAGATTCCTGTATTGACGGCAACAACAGCCAACGTTTTCGAAGTGGCGTGGCACCCGACCCTCTGCGGCTTCGTCGTTGGCACCTCGCCGGTCGGCCTTCACATCGATCAAGGCGTGCGCACGCAGGTGCATGTCTTTAGGCAGGACAATCAACAACATCTAGACGGCGCGTACAGCGAGTACCAGAAGCTCGACTGCTTCGCATCGGACATTAACGAGCTCAGCATCGTACCCAACTCGATACAGAGCGCCTACATTACCGCTGCGTGCACGGATGGGAAGGTGTACGTGTGGGACATGGCGCTTGGCGACAAGCCGATTCACGTGCTCAAGCACGGCAGCCCGTTGGAAGAGGTGGTGCAGCCCGAGGAACGAGAGCGCGAAGACACGGGCGTCAAGTTTACAGCCTGGGGTAGCGATCTTAGCAGGCTATATACCGGCTCCAGCGACGGCGTGGTCAAGGTGTGGAATATTCGCAACCGACGTAAGCCGTTTGTCCGCGACCTGCTGCGCGCTCCTGGCCCAATTTCCTGCGGCAGCTTCTCGCCGGATCATAGCAAACTCGCCATTGGCGATGCCACCGGTCGTCTGTTTCTCTTTTCCACCACAAAAGAAAAACAGTTCGAGGAGCGTTTCAGCCGGGTTCACCAGATAACCAAGCAGCTGGTACACCGGAGCCGGCCTTTTACGCCGCACCCCGATCCGCCTCGCCCACCGCCCGTACACGATCCAGATGCCATGCTCCTCGACGGTCCCAACAACAACAACAACGACGACGACGTTGACACGGCAGACTCGGCGACGTATGCGCGCCGCAGATACCTCGATACGCAGCAGCTGACACTCCACCGCAACCCCGTCATCGGCGCCGTGCAAGGCCCACAGTACGCAGCCTCGGGGCACTTTCTCCACGACGCCCACCTCGACGACGACCCTGCCGCGCCGCTCCTCACCAAGTACGAGCGCCTGCAGCTGGAAAGCCGGCACAGCGTGCTCGGCGGTGCGGGCTGTCTCCGGCGGCGCTCCCTGCGGCGGCTCGTGCCGGCGCCGGCGGTCGTGGACGATGCGACGGAGCAGCAACACCGGGGCAATGTAGCGCGGGACTTTGACGTCGCGGCGCTGGACAAGGCTGATTGGGACGAGCTGGTGCGTGCGGGGGCGTTGCTGGATCTCGGCGATACTGGTGAGGAGGATTGGGGTTTTGCATACGAGGATTCGCCGGCGGTATATGATGATGCGGATGCATGCGACATGGAATCGGAGTCTTGATTTTCTGCGATGAGGGCATTTACGGTTTCGGGAGTTTTTTTTCTTGTTCTTCTGTTTCTCTTTTTTTTTTGTCCCCGCATATCTTTAAAAAAAGGTAGAGATGCATTTTACTTTTTTTGGACGTTGGTCTGGCGGAGGGAGGATTGGGTTGGGTTCCAACAAGGGTAATGAGGATTTTATTTATGTATATCTCATGTATAAAAATGTCTACATTTATTCAGCTCACAGGACCTCGTCCGATAGATAAGTTCAACGAGTTGGCAAGTCTGTGCTTTTCGTTTCAAGTTATTCAATCTGACGCGCAACTTTACAAGTCAGGTAGCTGCGTCCTATCGCAACAATGCAGCAAAAGCCTGTCCGTGCCCGCATCGAAGCCACGGCAAGACAGCATCCATCGTACAATCAATAATGAGATATCTTTTTTCGAAATTCTTCTATTCCATCGTCATTAATAATCAATACATGGCTCTATAGTTTAGCACGTCTTTTTTTCGGCAGAAGAAGAAAAGAGGAAAAGAAAAAAAAAAAAACAAAAAAGGTCAACGCCGATTAATGCTTGGCAGTGGCCTTGTCGCCGGTGAGCTTCTCGACATATGTCTTGGCACTGAAGGAAAAGTCATGGGTTAGCCAATGTTGTTTGAAAGCAATTGTGGAGGATTCTTACATGTCACCAAAAGCAACCATGCAGACAGTCTGCCAGATGGAGAGACCAATGCGGGGAGTGACACCACGGTAGAGACCAGCAATACCGTTCGAGTTATAGATATAACGGAAGGTGTTGCCGACAGTCATCTTCTTGGGGCGGTTGGGGTCGTCCGTCTTGGACTGCATCTCGACGCGAATAACCTCGATGGGCTGGTTCCAGGCGGAGAGACCACCACCAATGGCAGAAGCGCCAATCTTTTCGGCGGTGCTCAGCTTTTCCTTGTCGCCCTTGCCGGTGGCGCGGCGGATGCCACCCTCGGCGAGACGGCTGAGGCCGAAGCGGGAGCCCCAGTTGGTCATTTGGCGGATGGCGACGGCGTTGACGCCCTTGTTGATGCCCTTGATGCCCTCCTTGCGGTAGATGTCCATAAAGGTGGCAAAGGTGGACTGGGGCTTGACGCCCGCGGCAGCCTGCTTGTGCTTGGTAATTTCGACCGTCTTCATGCAGGTGCAGAAGCCCATCGTGGCGTAGGCCTGGGCGACGCCGCCCGTCATGCCGCCGATGATGCCGCCGCCAAACTGAGAGGCGCCAAAGGAGCGGGCATAGTACTCGGCCTCGGAGGCGACGAAGAGGAGGACAGCGCCCTTGGTGGAGGCTTCGATCCAGGCCCAGGGGATGAGACCCTGGTAGACTGTGAGGGGTGGGTTAGTTGGTCTGCGCGACTGATGCGCGGGAGAGCAAGGAGAAGAGACGTACAGCCGAGAACACCGCCTCGAGACCAAATGCGTTTCAAGGCCGCAGCAAAGCCGTCGCCACGGTTGGCGGCCATGGTGGTCTTGGTGACCTCGAGGGGTTGGCCGAGGGTGGTGACTTCAAACATGTTGAGACCGGCGCCGAGGAGCAGGTTGGAGAACTTGACGGGCTGCTTCTCCAGCTTATCGCCTCCCGAGGCGGACGGAGCGGCGGCGGCGACCATGATCGAATGCGAGATTTTGCTGCGAAAGGGATGTCCCTGACCAAGGGTAAGAGGGTGCTTCTTTGCGAGAGAAGGTAATGAAAAAGGACGGCGTTAGCTATGCTGCGATGCAATGGAGATGAATTGGAGAAGGGGAAGGGAGATGAGGACGGGGGTAGAAGAAGGCGGAAGGTAAGGTAGTGGCTGAGCCCGCTAGGCTGGGCGCTCAACTGCTTCTGCGCCAGAGGGCAAACGGTTGAGAGCTCCCTCCCCAGGTGTGGCTGGACACCCCAAATCGTGCTGAGTCAGAAGCTCGGGAAATGGCGCGCTCAACGCTCACTGGGCAATGCCGGGTAACGAGATCTGGGACATACGAGGTGGAACGCGAAAGCGAAAGTCGATTCTAGACAAGTCTGCGGCTCTGACTAAAAAGAGGTGGCCAGGTGCGTCGCTGTCAAAGGAGAAGCATGCAGAATTGAACGATGACGGATGGATGCAGGAAGAGAAGCTATGGAGATAGGCTACAGCACATGTCAGATAGTCGCGCACTTTTCAAGGGGATTTATTTCCGCAGAGAGGTAGGTAGTCAGCAATTCGCTAGAAGCTGCCGGCGACTTGCGACCCGTGGCCGGTGGCCTTGGAGCAGCAGACGGCGTCTGACACGGTTGTGCTGCACTGCTTGGCCGAGGCTATTCGGCGGCGCTGGCCGTGATTGTCCGGGGGATGTGGAGGGCACTGGAGAAGCCGATGTCTGGGTAAAGCACGTGCAAAAAAAGGCTCCTGCAAGCACTGTAGACCCTGTAGACCCTGTAGCAGCGATGCTCTATTTAGGGATCTCGGGCGCTAGAAACGAGGGCAGCTTTCTGGTGAACTACTTGGTGCTGCTACATAAAAGAGGACGGAAAATGCCATCAAAATGCTAGAAAGATCATATAGACGTTTGATGAGCTGGAGGCCAACCTTGAATCAGACTTGGAGGCTTTTTTTGTCGTCAATTAAAGCCTTCAGCCTCCACTGCACTCGTTGTCGCAGCTCTACTCGTATGTACGCCCGTATCTCCAGAATCCGGATACAGGCGACATCGGCGCGGCCCAAAGCCGGCTCAGATCGACCGACCAATCTGCCGACTGCAAGGCACAGGTATATAGCCTTTCAGTCGACTACAAATTCATGTTGGCTCCAATTGATACTTTGGGATTTCTTCCGTTGCATTTTTATTTTTTTCCTTTTTCTTATGCAATACGTCAACGCTGTCATCCACGATTGCGGCAATTACAAGACATATCAGAGGTGGTAGAAAACAAGGCTCTAGCGCGAAAACGAAAAAGAAAAAGAGGCCAGGTACGGCAAAAATTATCAGAAACCCTTGCAACTCTGCTATTATCCATTGGGATCCGTCTCTGCCTCAACACGGCAAGTAGTCAATTGTTGAGTTATCCACTCTACTCCGTAAGGTAATTACCAGATTTACCTGCCTCCGGTTACCGGCCGGCATCTCCCGCTAGGCCATTTTAGCTACAGCCGCGCCCCTCTCCTGCACCTAGTTCAAGATGTGAGCCCCGTCGTCCTCACAAGTCTCCAGATTGGACGATGATTTCTCACCAACGACATCCGTCAGCATTCATGATGCGCGGGAAATCGGCAACTGTTTCAGTACATCATGATATAACCCGACTTTTTACGATATTGACTGTGGCTTAGCGCTGGAATACGCCACGTACGCATGTTTGTGTGATGCGGGCCAACATGCTGGACTACTGGAAATTTGTAGTGATGCGAGCGTGACAGGTAGGACCACAGCATTGTGCTCAAAGCAAACTTGACTTCCACGTCTGTGAATGCCTTACCTTCGTCATGTCGCTGCTCCTTTGGATCTTTCCGCCAGTCACATACCCATTCCGCGCGTCTCTTCCTTTGAGCTTGTAGAATGAGTAGCGGAAATTGGGAATATACCTGTCAGGGAAGCTACTCCAAACTTGACAATCAGCTACCGCCGCTAGAGAGTCAGTACCATGTTCTGAGCAATCCTCTGCCTCCGGAGATGTGGATTGGCGCCATCATCGATCAGCCCCAGAATCCCCAGGTCCTCAACACGCGGCACGAGACACCCCAATTTGAACCCGCACGTATTCGAGAGGCCACAAAGCGCAACGAGTTCTTCACATTGCGGTGCGCCAGGGGAAAAGAAGGCGGGCCCTTGACCTGCTCGATGCAGATGCTGGCGCCGACCATGCGCACGGTCGAGCTCGCGTCTCCCACCGCCAAAGACTACACCAGAACCCGCGTCTCCTCCGCGGCTGTGCAGGACTGGCTCGCGAGGCACAGGCATAAGAAGCCGCTGTACATGGTGACGGGCATCAAGACGGTGACGGACGCGCGCTTCGTACATCGATATCCCCGGGTCGTAAAGAAATGGTATACATGGCAGGGCCTGCGCGAGCGCCGACTCCGCCCGCAGCAGCCACCCGAGCTGGTGGCGACGACGATGACGGGCGAGCATCCGTTTGGCGTCCGGATTACAAAGATGGAGTACAAGAAGACGGGCAAGGACCACTGGGCGGACTATGAGTGGGTGTACGAGCCTTTCACAGAGGGAGCGTTGGCGCACTGAGTTTCAGCGCCGTGGAAGATCACGGAGCAAGTGTCATATTGACATGAAAGCTGTACTCTAGGCTAGATCCAGGTTGTTCCATCTAGACAAGTAACCCTCCCCTTCAGTGGACGAGACTGTATCACCGATCATGGGGCGTGCAGCGAACCGCTCAAGGCTGAACTTTAAGCAGTCGTCGGGCTACTGATTTGTACTCAAATTTTGAAAGTATCGTCATTGCAGGCTTACCACAATCGTCGAATAATGCAGGTAACTATACTATGGTACTCTTATACGCCTTTGCCAACATATTTTGCAGCATTGAATCGCAGCAGCTGCCGGGGCATGTTGAGATGCAGTTGATGTTGCCATTCAGTCGTGCCACCCGTATGACAGGCCAACGTTGTTACAGTTTAAGTGAGTCTCTCGTTGTAGCCGCTAGGTAGATAGTAGGCTGTGAAGTAGGACCCCCAAGTGTAGAATAAGTAAATGGAGCTCTGATGATAGAACAGAAATTAGGTATAAATCTTTATAATAAAAAATTGAGCTATCAATTCGTTATGATAAGGAACATGTTCCCAATTATGGAAAGTATAAACTTAAAAGCTCCAATAGCTATTTTAACTCTTTTACACACAATTAGTCCTACTTACATTACTTTCTAATATAAGCTTTAGGCTGTTTATGTCAATCGCCCGATCATCTCTTAACCATACACGCTGGCGTATATAACTTCATACATACTTGAACAGATGGTAGAGTGCTCTCAATGATCGAGATGTGACACCCTTTCTGCCATTCATGGACGCCTGCGCATCAAGCTGCGAGGCTGTAAACAAAAGCTATCAGCACGACAAGCGCCCGGCCCGACCGCTGGCGGCTGTTTGGCGGGACGTGGGTCCTAGAGCGGCGACCCCTTCGAAATTCTGCGCAGCGTCACCGCAAGCATCAGTCTACTTCCACCATTCACACACACACACACATACCATATGACGCCCAGAGCCGCATCAATGCTGCGGCAGCGACTCGCCGCGAGTCTGCTCCGCGCCGAGCAAACGACCACCACTACCAGCAGCCGCTCGTGCCTACGCAACCGCCACGCCCAGCAAAAACGATGGAACACGCCCGCGCCCAAGGCCGGCGACGGCCCTCTGATGGCTCGTCGCGCCGATCGCGAACTGCCCGGTACGTTTCCGCCTCTCTCTCCAAAGAGAGAGAGAAAAAAAAAGAAGGATTTTCTTTCCTCGGGTCACTGACAAAATAATACTGCAGACATTTCCCAAGTCGGGTTCCGCTGGGGCCGCACGCTGCCGCTCTTTGCCGTGCTCGTCGCCGCCTCGTCGTTTGCCATTTTCAACTACCAGAAATCCTCGTCACCCGTCATATCGTCGACGCTGTACGCGCTGCGCACGTCTCCCCGCGCGCGCGCCGTCCTCGGCGACGAGATTTATTTCAAGCACCAGATTCCGTGGATCGGCGGCGAGATGAACCAGATGCAGGGCCGCATCGACATTACCTTTTCGGTCCGCGGCTCCAAGGGCACCGCCCTCATGCGCTTCACGAGCCGTCGCCCGACGAGCCGCAGCCTCTTTGAGACGTCCGAGTGGAGCCTGCGCACAGAGGACGGGACTTGGATCGACCTGCTCGAGGACGGCGATCCCTTCAAGAGCCTGCTGGCTGATGATGCGCTGCCGCCGCTCGACGAGGAGCCGGTTCAGAGGGGCTTTAGGCAGCAGGGTGCGCTGAACAAGTGAGGGAGGGGGGGAAGCAACTGGGTAAGCATTTTCATAACAACACAATCTCTGCTTAGCGTCGGAAATTTGATCAAGTTGATGTCTCCGCGACAACTGTATAATAGCTATCAATTCATGTGTACATCTATAAATACAAGTGAAAACAACCAAAGATCCGCTTCGAATGAGGAGTATTGTTTTTACACCAATGCCTTGTTTGTTCAGCCCGCACCCCCGACTCTCGTCCAAAACAAATTGCTTTTTCTTGTTCCTTTATAGTTGGGCAGATTGCGCTTGGCGCTCTTCCTTGAGCTGCATATGCACGTCCCTTGCCTGCTCCAGCTTGGCCTCGATATCCGGGTGTCTCTCCTTGAGGAGCTGCACCGCGCTGTCACGAAACGGCTTGCCAGGCGGCTTGCGCTTCTTTGAATCCTGGAGCTGGATGGTGCGGCCCTTGGGCCCAGGTACGGCCCCGCTGACAAGCACAACACCAAGCTCATTATCGACCTTGAGCACCTTGAGGTTCTGCACCGTGACGTGCTGGAAGCCCATGCGTCCCGGCATCTTCTTGCCGGGCAGGACCCTGCTGCCGCTGCCCTGCGAGGGGCCGGTGGTGCCAATGGTGCGGTGGTTGAGCGAGTTTCCGTGTGACGCCTCCTGGCCGGCGAATCCGTGGCGCTTCATGCCGCCCGCGAAGCCCATGCCGCGGGAGCGCGCGCGCGCGTCGACGTACTGGCCGACGCGGAACCAGTCGGGCTGCAGCTGCACGCCGACGGGCAGCAGGCCCTCGGCGCTGCGCACCCGAAACTCGTGCAGCTCCGCCTTAGGCGCGATGCCCTTGGCCTCGTAGTAGCCGAGCAGCGGGGCCGTGACGCCGCGCGGGTTCTTGGAGCCCTGCCCGACCTGCACGGCCCAGTACCCGTGCCGCTCCCGCGTCTTGTTGAGCACGACCTGCACCTGGTCGAGCTGCAGCACCGTGCACGGCGTCCGCACCTTGCCCACAAACATGCTCGTCATGCCCTTCTTGATCGCCAGCACGCCCGTGCGGTGCGGCGTCGTGTTCTCGCGTCGCTTGAGAGCCGCCGCCGGCCCCGTCGTCAGCGCAGGGAGGCCCGAGTTGGGCTGGTTGAATCGTCGGTGCTTGGATCGGGGCGGCGCCGTCGACCACCCGTACTTGATGCCGCGGGACGGGGTCAGGGGCAGCAGCAGCCGGCGGCCGGTGTCGGGGCGCGCGGGCGTGACCCGCGGAAGGGCCACGCGTATCGGTAGACGGAGCTGCATCGTCTATGAGATTGTGGGAGAGGTCAATGGACGGTGGTTGTATGTAGTCTTTTTTTCGAGATAGCTCAAATGTTGGCGCGAAAGAGCCATCGGTTTTCCGTCACGTGCGCCCCTGGTTTTCTGGACCCACCACAAGCTAACTACTCAAGAATAGTACTGCAGGCTGAAAGCCTGTAAGATGCAGTTGCAGGTGAAAAACGCAACACTTGTTCGAATAATATTCTAGTCCCTGTGCCTGCAAAATCACGAAGACGACGGTTGCGTCGGTGGTGGCCTTGTAGACGATATAACGTATCACACCAAGTCCTACAAGGTCTAGTACAATAGAAAGATGAACATTGCGTCGAGCCTGATAACTGGGCCAACTTGCTTTCGTGCCTGAAAATTCTTCATGAATCATGTTGCTATAGCTGAACCGAGCCAGTCAGCCTTGCTCGCAGATGCAAGTATGGATATTGGCGAATATGTCAAGACCGCCCATCTTGCCACGCGTTGGCCATGCTATGCGATGACGACAGCATGCTCATCTTTCTTTGACAATACCCCGAACGCGACGCACCAGGGCAAGTAGTTCTGCGTGGAGGATATCGGAGAGTAGTTTGTTGCGCAAGCAGATCTGGTCGTGGTATTACGGGCCGCAAAAGTGGCACGCGGCAGTAAAACGTGATGCAGGAATCCGCGTGTTCTGCGTGCGGGAGTGGCGTGGTCAGTGTTCATGGTTAGAGGGAAGCTGTGGTTACCGTAGCTGTTGGAGGAGACAGGTGACAGCTTCGAGCAGGTAGAAACCCTGCTTGCCAGCAGACAATAGCAACCTACACTCAATCACAATAGTCTCCGCCAAGACATCACCAAGAGAACCCGCGGCCTCCATCTTTTGTCATTCATATCTCACATCAGTGCTGTTGTCCGATCCCACAACCCCCCCCCCCCTCCCTAAACACCCGGTCCCCGTCCTCCGATACCACTCCCCATCGCATTCACATTCGTCCCTTTGACCTTGTGATCCCCCGGCTGCGCCGCCGCCTCGTACAGGATATTTGTCGGCGCCTTGCCCAGCCTCGTCCACTCGCCCTTGAAGCCGACATAGCTGATCCGGGTCACGTCCTCCTCGCCGTCGCCAAAGTTGTCGGAGAAGAACAGGCCCAGCCGCTGCACCCGCCCAAACAGCGCGCGCTTGACCGGAATCTCCTGCACATCAGACGTCTGCGCCAGCTCCAGCCGCTGCACGGGATCCGACTCCTCGGCGGCCTCAAAGTCGAGGCCGTCCTGGTTGACAAAGAGGCTGAGCGTCTTGGGGGCGCACGCCGCGGGGGAGGTGCGGATCAGGATGGCGTGGAGCTTGACTTGAGCGGTGAAGCTGGTAGCATCCGTCAGTAAGAAAATGAATAAAAAAAAGATCAAGTTTTCTTAAAAAAAAATCGTAGTACACCAGTCTAGGAAAACGTTCAAGAGGATCGAGGTTGAGTGGAAAATGCTTGTCGTGGCGGGGAGAGCTTACGGGACCGTCATGAGAAGTTGCTCATCGGCATCGCTCTCCAGCTCCGGGTCCATCTCGAGACGCTCCGCCCATGTCTTCTTGACGATAGCCTTGCCGGCATCGCGCCGCGACTCGTTGAGCGTGACAATCTCGTCAAAATTGATTTGCTCGTACAGCGACGACTGCAGCGCGGGTGTGATGTCGTCTGAATGGTCGTGCTCGTGGCCGCCGTGCTCATCATGGCAGTGGGAATGCGAGTGCGACATGCTCGGCGGATTCTGCTATCGGCGTTGTTTGTTTTCCAGAATGAGTAGTAGATGGTTTATTCTGTTTTTTGGCCTGCTCTAGTGAATACTTTATCAGTTGATTGATGGCTGATGCAATCAAGGTGCCAAGTTTCTACTTGGATATGCTAACTATTATTATGAAGTAATGTCTGCGACTGCCCCACCACGAATCAAGCCATTGCAAACAGCGATGTATGCACTCAAAGAGTTGCGCAATAAAGTAATAAATTTGTACTTGTGTAATACTAAAGCGGCATTCAAATAGAAGAACATGATTTGGTAGCATCTATCTAAAGCCGCTCTTCCGCTTCGGCTTGGACTTCTTCTTTCGAGCACCAAAAGCCCCCGAAACAGGCTGGCTCATTGTCAAAGGTGGCATCGACGGCGCTTGCGTCTGCGACGAGCTGGGTCCTACCTGGCTCGACATGTATTGCATGCGCATCGGTCCTGGCGACGATCCCATCACTTCGTCCTCGCGATCGTGGCCCATACTCTGGCGCATCATCGACTGTCGCCTGAACTTTTCCACATGCGACCTTCGCTTCGCTTCCTTCTTCTGCAGCCTCTCCCGCGCGTCTCTAAATTTGTCGTCGGCGGCGATGGCCACTGTTGATACATAGTATTTAGGATCGTGACCGCGTTCGGTTGGCCAATACGAAAGCAAATTGTGGGATTTTGACGAGACAGGCTCCGCTGCGGCCAGTGACGGCGCCAAAAGGCGTAGCCTGGACAAGGCACCGTCGCTACCTTCGTTGGAGTCGGATGGCGCTGGAGACAGCTGGGAGCTGCGCGGAGAGGACGTGAGCACGGCTGAGCTAGCCGGTTCTCTGCTTGTTCTCTGTGACTCTTCTAGCCTCTGCGGGCCAAAGACTGGAACATCTTGGATCAGGACACCATAGCTGGAAAAGAGAATATTCCGCGCGACTTCTGCTACCCAAGCCTTTCGTGCCTCTTGAACATCATTTGTGATGCGAGATTCCGGAGCATCAAGCCAGAAATTGCAGTATTCGCCAAACAGGTATGTAAAGCCGACCAGTGCATCAGCCGGCTCCTTGTCGTTGAAACGTCGAATTTGTGGAACTACTTTGTTTTCGTCGGCAGTATCGAACAGCTTCCCTATTTCTGTTTCCATACCATTGTCGACGTTGTCTAGCTCGGCGTCATCCCCGACCGCTTCTGCAAGTTGGTGCCTGCGTCATGTTAGTTGTAAATCGAGCTGATAGCCGCGAGCTGCGTACCAAGTAGCCAACGGGGTTCTTTCCCCTGGCTCACTACTATCAAACATGTCTTGTAAGGCCTCAAATAGATCTCGCGGAAGACCTTTAGGCCCTTGTCGCTGTGTTTCTGCCAGATAACTGCCTATCGAACGACAAAGAATCTCCATATTTAGCCTGACTGGCTGAGGAACTTTGACTTCCGTCTCTTTCTGCCCGACGAGTTTATCTTCACCCGCAACGCGACGCTCCATTGCCGAGGCCAAATCCTTCTCCGTCATGCCATCCGATAGCACGAATGTGTTTTCGTAGTGTTGTAGAAAGTGATTTCTTCGTTTCTTCCACTGTCGTTGTTGTTTCGTCATTGACCAAGCCAGCCGCTTCGTGGGCAGCACAACCTTTTGTTCAGGAGTGTACACGGTAGTGTAGATGCCGTATCGGATGCTCAGATCATCCAACAAGAGGTTCACCTGGAAAAAGTCCACGCCAGCCGCTTTATACTCGGCTCCTAGCCCAATGGGGTGTTTTTTGCCGGGCAGATCCAGATAAAGCGGCGTGACGGTAATTTGAGAAATATGTGCAGAACGGGAAGAATCATTTCCGCTGGCAAGAGATGTAATATGCCTGTGCCAGCGCACAGGACCCTGATCTTCAGTTTCGAACCAGTACACAGATAGCTGATCTGTCTTGACCGAAAAGGTGAAAACCATGGCTACGCCATCTTCTAGAGCACATGTAGTCATGATTGGCATCGAGGATGCCTCTCCAACGTGAGGTATGGTAAGAAGAATCGTGGGGCTGTCCTGCTCTTGCCGAACTTCAGCCCAAACGAGGTTCTTCTCCGTCAAAATGAAAACACGACTTCTTGTAGTAGGGCAGTTTTGCACGTCGAGAATTTGATTGTATTTACCTTCTGGCACCCAGAACTTCTTCAGAGGCGATACCACGCTGGCCGTGTGCATGTCCACCGCCTGAAGCCGGTCGCCTTTCCACATGAGGAGAATAGGCGCCGTCGAGCCACTAGAGCCTGTGCGTTTGTCTGTTTCTAGGGGATCCCGCTTGGCATCCTTTGGCTCGGAGACCACGACAAGTCCATGTTTTTCGGCTGAATATTGATGGTGCGCCGGGATCTCGGTAAGGGGGCCAGTACTGATGTGTCCACACGCTCGCTGCATGATCCTGACACTTTTGACGCCAACTCGATATGTTCCCATAAGATCCCATGTGGTCCAGAATCCGCATTCATCGATCAAAGCGAGCAGAGGGGTTTGGCCACGGGCTGCTGGGCTAAACACCACGTCAGAGTGGGCATTTCCACCCGTGTCGGTATGGTTTATCTCCAAGATGGGATTCGCTTTGATTAGGCCCGCTGAATTGCCTGTTAATGAGCCCTCCGTGATTTGAGTCTCAGTAACTAGTACAGTGTGGTGTTCCGGCTGGAGTATTGTCGTCGAGGTTCCCTTTTGTACGAGAAGCCATCGGACATGTACCTGATTCGCAAGACCTTCCGCGTATTTGATGCGAGCAATAGGAAGGCCATCAGCGGCCCAAAATGTCTCTTTTTCACTTTGAAGAGGGTCAATCACAGGGAGCTGCAAAGAGGCATCCTCGCTGTCTCCCCATCCCCAGTTGGTCTGGTCCGCGACAGTTAAGCGTAGCAATTCGCCGGATGCGCCCGTTGCAGACGCCAGAAATGGAACTGGCTTATTGTCGTCATGGCGGCCAGTCACCGTCGACATGGATGCAATCGCCAGAAGCGGCCCTGCGTTGGGAAGCGTCTCGGCCGTCTTGAACTTGGCCATGTCCTCGCGAAGAGGCTCTTGAAACACGAAATTGCCCATGGCCGCCTCGGGGTGGGACTTTATGAGCCATCTCTGCTGCACTCGGCGAGCGCGCCATACTTCAGAGCTTGCCCTGGGAAGCGCCGACTTGGATGGGGGGTAAAGCTCAGCGGTTTCGCCGACAATGGAGAATCGAGGCTCTGTGAGAAAAGGTTAGTGGGTAGCAAGTAGGCCGCACCATGCTGCTGACCTTTATCGGTGTGACGCGATGAATTCAAGCTGCCGACTTGGTCTCCCAGGTGCTGGTTCGCTAAGCGATATGATAATATTCCGGCATCGCCATACAAATGGCCTGCGAAGCCGTACGCTTCAGCCATTTGGGCCTGGTAAAGATTTTTGGTCCTTTGTGAGTAGCGTCGTTGTGTTTGTATTCATCCTGAGCGAAAAGCACGCTAAAGCAATATATCAAGAGTTGGGCAATAATCAAGGTAAGCACGTTCAGAAATTGCAGTGAATTTCCTGCCTTGGTGTCATGACAAGCAATGTTGGTTCCGATCAAAAAGCGTTGAAGTGAAATCCATCTGAATCACGTGCCGCGATGGCCGTTGGCTTTAGAGCACGGTCGGCCGAGCAACCTTGGCAATCCAGTAAACACGTCCCGCAGTTATCGCGTCTGCCACCGACTTGCGATTGTACATTTTTCCAGGGTTCAACAATACGCAACGAAGACGGCAATAATTCCAAAATGGCGGCCACATACGAGCACACTGGTGCATTTTCCGGCAGCGTCAGTCGGCAAACGCTGGCTCCAGTCGGGCCGTCGATGGTGGACCAGCTACCAAACATCAACTTTGGCTTTGAGGAGCTGCGCGATCGCATGGCGCGATTTACAACCAAATTCGACACATATATTGAACAAGGGCGCAAAAGGGTATTAGAGGAGCGCAATCGGTTCCGCATGGAAGTTGCCGAGTTACAAGGTAGGCCTTTTTTTCCCCCGTCTGCACGCGTGAGTGACACATGATCGCTAACCTGTCTTTTACGCAGAGGACCAACGAATGAAGAAGAAGGACATTGAAATTGCGCACGTCAACACATCCACATACCAGCAGAGCATCGAAAAGGAAGAGACGGAAAAGCAAGAGATGGAGGCGGCCATTGCCTCGCTGTCGGCGCAGCGCGACCACCACCTGGCGACGCGCGACAACCTGCGGGAGCAGATTGCGCAGACGCAGCGCGACATTGACGCCAAGCTGGCGGCACAGCGCGCGCACGCGGCGCAGCAGAAGGCGCAGTCGCGGTTCAACGTGCCGGAGCTGGATTTCTGGATCACGAACCTGTGCCTGCGGATCGAGGGCGCAGGCCGCGACGACCGGCTCAAGTTTGTGTACACGCACGTCGACGAGAGGAGCTGGGAGCGCGAGGCGTGGTTTGAGCTGGCGACGGGCGCGCGCGACTACGACGTCAGGCACTGCCGGCCCAAGCTAGAGCGCGAGGCGGTCGAGAGGGTGTTGGAGAAGGTGAATGAGTCGAGGGAGCTCGTGGTGCTGCTCAAGGGCATGAGGGAGCTATTTGTAGAGGCGATGAAGTCGTAATGGCCTGGAGGGAAAAGGGCCGTGTATATATTTCCTTTTGGGCATATCTAGGTGTTGGTATGGTTGGGTTGACAATTATTGGTGTTTGGGCATGACCATGTCCGTGTACATTGAGAATTCGGCTGCATTTTGGCGAGCGAATGACATGAGACGTTTCTTTTCCTATGTCCAAGAACGGGATTGGCAGTGATATACTTGTATCTATGCTTCTTGCTCACGCTGCGGAGGCTACTGACCAAGAGCTGGATGTACAAGCAATCTACGACTCGTACATTTGTCTCCGGTGCTCTGCTTTCAGTACTGATTATACTAAAAAAGAAGGGCGTAAGAAAAGTCAGTAAATAGCTTGTATAATTTGTGACTCAATGATTCAAGTTTCGAAAGTCTTCCATGAAAGAAAAAATATATACAAATATGAAATGTAGTTGAACGTCTCTCACAATGCGCCCCGCCATCCTTGTCTGCCAAGCCGTGGGTGACCTCTAGCGGGGTTGCCAAACAGCACTCCAAGCTTCACCTCGTTGTCGCGTTCTTCGCAACCCGCAAAACCGGAACCACCTCAACAACACCATGCCAGAACCTGATAAGCGCGCCGCGGCGCAGCAGGCCGTCGATATCCTGCACGAGATATCCACCATTCTTGTACGAAGCCTCAACTACGTCCCAGACCAACTTACCCCCCCGGGAAGCAAACTGATGCGCCTTGCAGAACTGCCACCTGGATCGCAAGACATTGTCCATTTGCATTGCGCTCATTGAGCGTGGCGTGAATCCAGAGGCACTAGCGGTGCGTTTCTCTTCCCCCCTTTCCCCCTTTTTCATCTGCATTTCGAGAGCGAGAAACGTTTATTTTTCTAGAAGGACGGTCGTGTACTAACTACCCTTGACGCATAGCAAGTCATTCACCAACTCCGTCAAGAAGCTCAGCTCATCGAGCAAGAGATTGAACAGCAATGACGATGCAGATATGAGCGACTCTCTTCACTCTCTTTCAAGCAGAGGGAACATTACGATTGATGATTACGTATTCCTGGGGGTTTTAACGGCGTTTTTTTTTTTTTTTTTTTTTTGGAAACCTAGATTTCGGGCAGCTTTTGACACTCTTCGCCCTTTCGCCTCGACCACTGGGCTACAGAATTAATACCAAATTGAACGAGACTTCTTCATTTATGATCTTCTATCCGAATGCAATGGAAAACAACCTTCTTTGTATGTGCGTATTTTGTACTGTGCTTTACTACCCAATATTCGCTTTGCAAAAGGAGGAATGCTCAAAACTCCGTGTATCAAAAAAAAAGCAAACGCCGACAAATGTAGTCCCGTTCCCCGACACCTCACATGTCCATCCTGGTGTCGTAATGTGTCGTAACTGTATGCAAAAAGGGGAAATGATAAAGCTATAGAATCTGTTCCTCATCGGTGGCCGATGAGCATAATTTCGTTGGGGTCTTCTTCTTCTTCTTCACTGTCGTCCATGCGTGGAAGGTCGTCACTATCGCTATCGTAATCGCCCTCCTCTTCTTCGCCACTTGACTCGCCTCCCGGTCGTCCCCATATGCCGAGAATGTCATTGTCCGAGTCCTCCTCGGCAGCCATGATAGTAGGCAGAGTGTGCTCAGGCATCATGTTTTGCGGCGAGAGAGACCTGGCAGTCCTGTCCGGCACAAGATATTGCGAGTCTACATGGAGGCTGGAAGAGTGTCTGCGCCGGTTCATGCCGCCCGCCGGACGTTCTGTAGGGATGGGGACTGGCTGCGCAGCAGTCATTGCATCAGATGCCACAGGAGGCTCTTCCTGTCGCTGTTGGGCAACTTGAAGAAAGTCACTGTTCCGACCCAGAATCTGCAATTCCGCAGTATTGTATGAGAGGCAGATGAGACACTTGAGTCCAAGCCAGTGATATGGCACCGTACATCTTCCGGAACAGTCATTGCAGAGCACGACGGCCTTGGTGTCACGGAATTCGGCAGGCATGGGTTGTGCCTGAATTAAGAGGTCCAGATTGCGAAATTGTGTCTCCATATTTGCAAGACTTTTGTTGCAGATGGGACATTTATATGACACCTTCATGTGCTGGTCATAGCACCTTTTATGTATACTGTGACCACATGGCATAAAGACGACAGGCTTGGGCGAGGTAAACATGTATTCGCCGCAGATTGGACAGTCGCAGTCGGTAGAGCGCTCGATGCATTTATGGGAGCTTTCAATGGAAGTAGTGATGCAAGCACGACATGTCTTGCAGTGAAAGAAATCTTTGCCGAGGCCATGACCACGGCGACAGATTCCGCAATCGTCACAGTGATAGATGGGCTTGCTCTTGCGGTTCTCCCAGAGCTTGCAAATGTTGCAGTAGTAGTGCGCCGTTGTTTCACCGCAGTTGACGCAAGCCTCCGAGGCCTTTTGTGGCGTACCACAGAGCATACACAACATGTGCTTTGTCTCGTGGCGGATAAGATTGTGGTCCTGTTCCGCATCGTGGCAGAAGCGGCACGTATACCATTTGTTGCAGGTCGAGCATTGAAGCTTGACGTTGCGTTCGTAATGAGCACAACCCAGAGGCGGGTGCGAGTCGGGTGGCGTAACCGATTCCTGGGAGCCGTCTGCGTTCTTGGGCCGACGGATGGGGGCGTAGGTCGGCGCCACGTCGGCATCGGTGAGCAGAAACTTTTCGGCGGCAGCAGTCTCGCCGACTTGATTTTGCCAGAATTTCAAGGATTCAAGAGTCATGGGCACTGGTGTTCGATACTCTCGTGATGTCTCGCCTGTTGTTGGCTCCCGGCCAGGGCTGACGGGCTCCAGGTGCGGCCGTGAGGCCCGGTAGCCTTCGAGCAGGACATCGTGGATCATTTTTGCCTTTGCGGCCTGTCCGATATCGAGCGCATTGATGTTATGTATCCGAGCCCGCAGCGTGCTCATGCCATCGTCTTCGGGGATAGGCCCGCCAGGCTTGCGCGGCGATATTGGAAAGCCGAGGTGGTCGCGCGGCGGGGGGCTCGTCGAGGAGCGAGGCGTTGATGGCGTCGCCGCAGAATCAGAGTGCGGTCTAGTGAGGGGGCTCGAGAGGTCGGCGACGGGGCTGGAGGGCAATATAGCCGCATCGTCGTGAGCGTCTTGCTCGATCTCGGAGGCGTCGCTTATGGCCTCAGGATGCGCGGTGGTAGAGGCATTATCCTCGCCGCCAAAAGTCGAGCGAGAAATTTCAGAGAATCGGCGGGCCTGTCGCAGGACCGGGTTGATGAGGAAGTCTGAGACGAGGGAAGACATTACATAGGCTGGTGGCGTTGTAGTGCCTGTTGGGGCGGGCACACGAGACGTATAGATGGGTTGCAGCGTAACGGGCTGCCTCTATACAGTGTCCTCGTGGATCGGCTGGTATAAATGGTGCGAAATGTTACATGCTCGCATGCAGCGATGAGATGAAGATGGAGGTGGCCCTCTGCGACATGCAGGAAGCGTATCAGTCGAGATTGGCTGAGGTAAGGCGATGGAGTTTAGACCAACGGTTGGCATGTGATGAAGGGGACGGGAGTCCGAGTGGCGGGCGACAAATGCAGGCATTCGAGGGTATTGGTGAAGTGTGGCGGTAGAGGCGTGGCGGTGGAGGCCCAGGAGATTGTGGCTGGTGCGCATGGCACGTCGGTGCCAGTATTACAAGGCGCGTTTATTAGTGGTGTTTGCTCCCTGATCAATGTACGAATTCAGCACATTGTTTCCGAGCCACGTAGCAACGAGCGCACAGTCGTCTGATGAGCCCGCGTTAGTTAGCTAGCTAGGAGGGGCAGCTGGGGCGGACCAGGCTTGAATTGGATTATTTTTGCCTTGCTTCGTACAATGGGCTTGAGCTGAATTGTACCTATCCTCCAAACTACACCAGCGCAGGGGCAGCACCAGCGCGTCGCTACCCCACTAAAATCAGCACAGCGCACTAATTGCAGCGCAGAATGTCTGCAATCTGGCCAAAATGCCTCCGCCTTGAGCTTGGACTGGCTCTAAATTTACACAAGTGGCTCTACAAGTGGCTCTGTCAACCTGCTTGGCTTTTGACGCTCGCCCTGCAATGCTAGGGGGCTTCTGAAGTCCTGGCATTCGTTCGTATCCGCAGAACCTCGACATCCCCTTTCGAATCCCATCACAGCCAGCCTCCTCTCGCTACCCTCTTCATCCTCCTCCCCTCCCATTCCTCTTCATCGTCTTTCTCAACTGCGACTGCTATGGTCGCTGTCTGACGTCGGGGGGTAAATTCTTCTTTCTTCTCTCTTCCCTTTTTTTTAGTCTTTTAGCTCTTTTGAGTCTCGACAGCTCGTCCTTTCGTTATACGTACCGCGAGGTCTTCTGCCTGGTCCAGCCGCACCTCTCCTCCTTTCTTGCGCTCAAGCCCACACGCCGTCTGTGGCCGCCCTTTGTTCTCTTCGACACGCATCGACGCTTATATATTCAAATTTGATTCGCGTCCCCATTGACACGCACAATGGCTGCCGATCGCGCCACCGTCTCTGGCATTGATGCCGGAGAGGGCCTTCGCCATCGCACAGTCGGCTCGTCGCCGGCTATCCCTGCCGCGCCCCAGCCCGTCGATGACAAGAAGCTGGCCAAGAAGGTTGGTTATCTCGAAGCACCACCACCAATCGCGAAACCTAACAACATTCCAGGCCCCTACCGCACTGGACATCTTCAACCAGTGGGAGCCCATCTTTGCCCCGCTGATTTTCACGGCTCTTGCCTTCTTCACTCGTCTCTGGAAGATTGGCATCAGCGATATTGTGACTTGGGATGAAGCTCAGTAAGCTTTGCAATCCTCTGTCCACAACCACATCACTAACAACTACAGCTTCGGCAAGTTCGGCTCCTACTATATCAAGCACGAGTACTACTTCGATGTCCACCCCCCGCTCGGCAAGATGCTGGTCGGTCTCTCCGGTGTCATGGCTGGTTATAATGGTTCTTTCGAATTCAAGTCGGGCGACAAGTACCCCGAAGACGTCAACTACACATTTATGCGCGCCTTCAATGCCTTCTTTGGCATTATCTGTATTCCCCTGGCCTACTATACTGCCAAGGAGCTCAAGCTTCGCCGCCCCGCCGTCTGGTTCGTCACTCTCATGGTCCTCTGCGAGAACTCGTACACTACCATTAGCCGATTCATTCTCCTCGATTCCATGCTGCTTTGCGGTACTGTTGCCACCGTCTTTTGCTGGGCCAAGTTCCACAACCAGCGCCACAACAGCTTCGAGCCTGAGTGGTTCCTCTGGCTATTCCTCACCGGCATTAGCATTGGTTGCGTGTGCAGTGTCAAGCTCGTCGGTCTCTTTGTCACTGCTCTCGTCGGCATCTACACTGCTGAGGATCTCTGGAACAAGTTTGGTAACACCAAGATGCCCGTCACTACTCTCGGTGCCCACGTTGTCACCCGTGTTGTTGGTCTCATCGTCGTGCCCTTCCTCATCTACATGCTCTCTTTTGCCCTGCACTTTGCCATTCTCAGCAAGAGTGGGCCTGGCGATGCCCAGATGAGCTCTCTGTTTCAGGCCAACCTCGAAGGTACCAATGTCGGCAAAGACAGCCCTCTCGAAATCGCCATTGGATCCCGCGCCACCATCAAAAACATGGGCTACGGCGGTGGCCTCCTCCACTCCCACGTTCAGACCTATCCCGAGGGTTCTCAGCAGCAGCAGGTCACTTGCTACCACCACAAAGACGCCAACAATGACTGGTTCATCTACCCCAACCGCTCTGAGGCCGATTACGATGTCAACTCGACCGACATTCGCTACATTTCTGATGGTTCCGTCATCCGTCTCATCCATGCTTCCACTGGCCGCAACCTGCACTCGCATGAGATTGCTGCCCCTATCACCAAGTCTGACCGCGAAGTTTCTTCTTACGGTAACCTGACCATTGGTGACGACAAGGACCACTGGCAGGTTGAAGTCGTCCGCGACGCCGCTTCGCGTGATCGCAGTCGTATCCGCACGCTGGCTACTTCGTTCCGTCTCAAGCACCCCGTCCTCGGCTGCTACCTGCGCGCTGGCAACACCAATCTTCCTCAGTGGGGTTTCAAGCAGATTGAAGTGACGTGCACCCCCAAGAACAACCCGAGAGACGCCTACACCCATTGGAACATTGAGTCGCACTGGAATGAGAAGCTCCCTGCCGGCGACCCTGGCTCGTACAAGTCTCCCTTCTTCCACGACTTTATCCACCTCAACGTCGCCATGATGACATCGAACAACGCCCTGGTCCCGGATCCCGATAAGCAGGATGACCTCGCTTCTCAGTGGTGGCAGTGGCCGATTCTGCACGTCGGTCTCCGCATGTGCGGCTGGGACGACAACATTGTCAAGTACTTCCTTCTCGGCAATCCCTTTGTGTACTGGGCCTCGACGGTGTCCCTAGGACTCGTTGGTCTCGTTGTGGTTTGGTACATTTTGCGCTGGCAGCGTGGCTTCAAGGACCTCAACAGCGAGGAGGTTGATCAGATTCACTACGCTGGCATCTACCCTGTGCTCGGCTGGTTCCTCCACTACCTTCCCTTTGTCATCATGGCCCGCGTCACCTACGTCCATCACTACTACCCGGCTCTGTACTTTGCCATTCTTGCCCTCGGATTTTTTGTCGACTGGCTGGTGAGAAACCGCAGCCAGGTTGTTCAGGGGGCCGTTTATGGCGTCTTGTACACTGTGATCATTGGTCTCTACATTTTGTTTATGCCCATTTGCTGGGGCATGACGGGTCCCAACCAGCAGTACTCGTACATGAAGTGGTTTGACACGTGGCGCGTTAGCGACTAAGCGGATATGTGCTACCGTCTGTTAATGTATTGTGTCTGGATTTGCGAGTCGATAAAATCTAGCTCTGTGATCTGCTAGGAATTTGGTGTACGGAACACAACTAGTAGAGGTAGGAGGAAAATGGAGGCGTTGGAGAATGAGGAAGAAAAAAATATTCACGAGAAGCTGCAATGAAATGTACAACAGATGCAAAAAAATAATTCGTCTTTTCCGGTTTTTAAAAAGGGTCAGTAGTCTTGATGGGAAATCTCCATGTCTAATGCAATATGATTTGTTTTTCATTGAATATACGTGATGCAATCGCCATGCGTATGCCGGCCTTGTTATACAAAATTTGGGGCCTTGTGGTATCTTTTGACCAACCATGTCTTTCCCATCATTCCCAGGCTATTAAATCTCCCACGTCTTTATTGGTCCCAGACAATGAATCTTGACCCCCATTGGTATTATTATAGTCATGTGCCATGTGATATCCTTGACAGAATTAGCAGCACCCGCCCGTCATAGACTTGGTCCCGTTGGGCCCCAACTTGACCTGCCTGCTCCCACCAGCGGTGGGCCCCTTGACGCCGGACCGTCGATCGTTGAGATCGTACTTGCCTGCCTGGATATTATGGTATATGCGCTCGGCGACGCGCATAAAGGCGCTCTCCACGTTTTCGCCGCTCTTGGCGCTCGTCTCGACGTACTCGAGCACGCCGTTGCCGCGGGCCCACTCCTGCGCCTGCTGCCTTGAGACTTGGCGCTTCGTCTCGTCGCCGACGAGGTCGGCCTTGTTGCCGACGAGGACAACGACAATGTCGGGCTCGGCAATCTGGCGCAGGTCGCTGAGCCAGTCGGTGACGTGGTCAAACGTCTGCTTGCGGGAGAGGTCGAAGACGAGGAGGGCGCCGGACGCGCCGCGAAAGTAGGATCGGGTGACGGACTTGTAGGTTTCCTGGCCGGCCGTGTCCCAGAGGGAGAGCTTCATGTGCTTTTGGGGCGTTTTGCTGGGGTCGCGGGGCGGCTCAGGCAGGCCCGTGGATGTTGTCGTGGTGGCCGAGGTGGCCGGTATCGAGGATGATGAGGACGTGGTGGGAGGGAGGGCCATGGTTTGGCTGTGAGGAGGGCCGACGGGGACGATGCGCGAGCCGAATTCGACGCCGATGGTGACGTCGTGGTGCGGCGAAAAGCGGCCTTCGCAGAGGCGGATAGTGAGGCTCGACTTGCCGCAGCCCGAGTCGCCGATGCAGACTAGCTTGGCAATGTAGTCCCACGGCGCCGACATGGCGGGAGGTGGCGGTAACGGTGTGAGGAGAGAGAGAGAGAGAGAGAGGCAATGGATAGCGTGGCCCGTGGGGTGAAGTAATGGGTTTGCGGGACGGGGGCGGCGGCGAGGCAAGTAGAGGTGGGCAGGTTCGTGTCGTCAATGGGCGGTAATGCAGGGGAGAGCTGCGGGAAGCTTTTCTGGGAGTGGCCGCACGTGCGCTTGTTCGGTGTAGATAGGATGGTGCTGAATGAGGGCGACGACGGACGGCGTGGGAATGGAGGGGGCAGGTAGCAAGCTTGTGATTTGAACCGCCAAGGCAATAAAGCTGCTGCGAGAGTTGTGAGTTGTTTAGGTGAAAGGTTTCGTGTAGACCAAAAGTAGAGCTGCCCCCGGGGATGGCAAGAGGGAATGCAGATGGCTTGGGGGCCAAAGGATGGCGATGGTCGGCCTTGTTGGGCAGCCGCACCTCGTCACAAGGCCGCTGTGGGGGAGACGGACTTGCTGCAGGTTGTTTCGTTAGGGTCTCACTGCACTGTACAAGTTTATGCAGCACAATACGATGTGTGTGTTCTAGTCAGAAAATTCAACAGAAAGGTCGTCATCTATTTAGAACTAGAAAGAGTTACTCTGGAATACGGAATCGCGGCGTTTTATCCTCTCTGCCTTGGCCATCAACTATTACCGTACAGCTTGGATTCTTGTTGCTTTGCAGTACCTGCATCGCTAGCCTGGCTTCCCGACGTCTTGGCCGAGTGCGGAGGTCGTGGCCCAATCAGTGGCGTACGGCAAATGTGAAGATGAAATCACAAGGATTTCCTTTCTTTAAAAAAAAAAAAAACACATATCATGATGTGTTCAAGATATTATGTGATCAGTTCGCCAAGTGGTAAAAACTCTATGCTACGACGTGCTCCAGCAGCCCGATACGTCGTCCACTTACACGGCGGTCAATTGCGTTTCATGCTGACGGAAGAAATGATATTTATTGACGGCGACATTGATTGACTGGCCCTGCCGAGACCAAGGCCTTCCTCACCTTTTTTTTCTCTATTCACCAGACGAGCAATCAGGGGCTTGTCAACCTACAGATGGTGGCTCCCGCGAGCCGGAGCCGCGCCCTCCTTGTGTCTGCAAACGGAGCTCAAGGGCCATGGCTGGCAGTTGATTTTCGACTGCAATAAGTAGCTATAAAAGAGTTACGAGTCGTTTGTTCAAGCACTACTACCTCGATCATCTATCGCTGTCGTGCAAGTGAAGAGGAACAATAAAGGAAAGAATTGCACCTAAATAGGTAGTTGGTTGCCAAACTTTGCGCTGCTGTGCTAGACGTACTGTCCTTCATTAATTTTAGCGTCTATTGCATGTATCGAGTTCCCTAGACCATTTCCTGTGTCACTCCGAAAACCGGCACTCATGAGGATCAGAGTTCAGAACACATTGTATTGAAACAAGCAATTTCCATTCCCTTGGACAGTACGTTGCTGAAGAAAGCTTTCTGTCAAGATAATCGGTACCTGTATGCATACTCAAAGTAGTCTTTGTTCCTTTTCTCGCGAGAACACGTAATGGAGGTTCTGGAGAATACCTTTTTTCCATCGAGAGCGATCTAGATTCGATCGGTACAGGTACCGTGCTTGCGTGCCTAATAGCTGTGTTGATGGGGCATCACCAGCTGCGAGCCGCCCGGGAGCTAATCGGAAATCGAAAGTCACGCCAGTGAAACACTAATGATGACTGAACTACCTTGGGGGATGGGAAATGCACCGAAAAGGCTGGCAGTCATACGTGAATAAGTTTTCAGTAAATTTTTGAGCACCGACGAATGAACCCACCATCAGACACACACTGAAAAACACACTGCTTGTTTGTTAGGTACCGTTTCCGTCGTGCACGGGCGTCTCCCTATCGCCGCCATCTACGACCAGTCAGCTGCTGCGAGAGTCACCCTCAAACCCCACGCTGCCCGTCCAACGTCCCATGACCGCCTCCGACCAGCTCGTCTTTTCCCGACCACATCCATCCAACACCGCTTTCTGCATCTTTGCCCATTTTGCATTATTTTATCTCTGTCGGCTCTGCATTACCCAAGATAAGCCCGCTACATCCCTGCGACAGACCAACGATCCAGGCATCCATCTCCTAGTGCGTAATCGGCACGGCAATGCACGTAATCGGCGACGAAACCCAAACCAACTCCCGACATCTCTGCCCTTCCATCATTTACGCCAACGTCCGTCATCCACGAACATAACCACCCCATTCTCCAGGCGAGGTGGCGGTCTGGTGCCCAATACCCTAATTCATCATGTTTTCCGAATGTGCGTGCCCTTTGCCTAGGCTTGCCTTGATGACTTTCTGACCAAGGTGATACAGACGCTTCCAGATTCCTCGCCCAGTCCCAGTCTCGCATCTCCAACTTTGGCCAACCCGACCACGACAACGCCAACGCCAACAACTACAACACATCCGACTGGCCTTCATCACTGCCCGGACGATATCGTGATACCGCCGCCGGCCGCGGTGCCCCAGGCACACGATCCTTTCTCTCCCGCGGCTACGGTGGCAATCCGTACCAGCAAAACGGCACCGGCTCCCGCTTCGGCAACCTCGCCTTTGCCTCACGCATCTCAGCCGCCCAGGACGCACCGCTCTTCCATGGCACGCTTGAGGAATTCCGCGAGGATGACGACGAGGAGGAGCGCGATCGCGAGGCCGCCGACCTTTTTGCTCTGCAGCGCTCGCGCCGAGTGGCCGCTGCCAGCAAACTCGCCGAGAGCACAGAGTCTGACTACAACAGCAGGGGTTCTCTCAACGAGAGCGCCGAGCAGGACGCTGACGATGACGATCCGTACCGTGGCCGTGCCGTGGGCGGCCGCGGAAGAGGCATCAAGAGCAGCTGGAACGGTACGAGGAGCGGCTTTCACCGCAATGCAGCACACGACACACTTCACGAGGAGGCTGAAGAGGTCTCTTCGGTGACTGCCGGTGCAACGACGTCTAAGAATGGTGGCAACAAGGCAGCCATGGTGGATGTAGGCCTGGACTCTCAGGGAGAAGAGGACGATGAACCGCCCGAGTCACTCATCGGCGAGACTCACATCGACTCGAGTCCGCCACCTTTTCAGCGTTTCAAGCAGCAGTCTGCCGAACAAACGCCCTTTTTACGACAGTCATCCCCAGATCGCTCAGAACTCAGTAGCCTACAGAGAGAAGACCCCGCTCAAGGGGAGCCCATGGAAGGCGGCCCCATGTACTTTGAGGGCGAGATATTTCGACACGATCCCTTTTTTGCCTGGATATTTCTCATTAGCTTTGCCGCTATGCTTTCGACATTTGTGCTGGTGTGGCTGCACACGTCACCGCGAAAAGGACCTGTGGGCGATACCATCTATACAGCCCTCCAGCGATCGTTCCACATGCTCGCCGTGGACACGGTCGTTGCTATTTTCGTATCATTCATCTGGCTGGCGGCCCTAAGGTCATTTGCTCGACCGCTAGTTAGCGCAATCCTCGTGGCTGTGCCAGTCATTCTGTTTTCGTTTTCATTATACGCCTTCATATCATCCTTCAAAGGCAGAACGCACGGTTCAAGCGTGCAGGATACCGTGATGCGCTGGGCCGCCCTCATTCCAGGCGCCGCGTGCATTCTCTGGCTGTGGATAGTTGGCAAGAGCCGCAAGGCAATTCAGCAAGCCATTGAGATTCTGCAGTTTTCCTCGCGCATCCTCGCGCAGAATCCGGCGCTCCTCATCATGGGCTTTGCCTGTCTCGCGCTCATCGTCGTCTGGACATGGGCCTGGCTCGTCATGTTTACGCGCGTCTTTATGGGCGGCTACTTTTCCAAATCGCTCTTCCGCTTTGTCATTGAGCTCTCGAGCTGGTGGCTCGGCGCCGCCTTTGTTCTCATGTACATGTGGACCATGTCCGTTATGAACGGCGTGCACCGCGCCACCACGGCTGCCACCGTCTCGCAATGGTACTTTCACCGCAACGCCGGCCCGGCCGCGCCGTCCAAGGACATTGTGCTGGCGGCGCTCGGCCACGCCGGGACGACCATTTTTGGCAGCATTTGCCAGTCTACCCTCCTGTCGCTGCTTGTGCGCGCGCCGCTGCTGTTTCTGCCGCGCCGTCTCGGCGCGGCCATTAGCAACATTGCCTCATTTTGGATCCCGACCCCGGTGGTGGCACTCACCAACCCGCTGACGGTCACCTATGCCGCGATTCACTCGCAGAGCCTTGCGACGTCGGCGCGGGGTCTGGACCAAATGGAATTCGTGACACCGGCCATGCCCACCACGACACTAACCCCGCGCGCGCTGCGGATGCGCGGCCAGCAAAACGGGCTCCTGCCTTATCGCCTCGCCAAGCTGCTGCTCGTGGCGACGCGGCTGCTGATGGCGACGGCGCTGGGGTTTGCGGGCTGGGTGGTTACGGCCAAGCAGCTGCGGCTGACGCTGCCGGACGGCATGGGGGTGCGCGGCTCTGCCTACGCGTACGTCGTCGGCCTCATGGCCAGTTTTATCGGCTACTCGGTCATGGGCGCCATGGAGGGCGTGCTCAGCGGCATCGTCGACGCGGTGCTCATTTGCTACGGCAGCGAGCGCCGCATGGAAATGGGTCACGGCCGCTTCTGCCTCGAGGCGGCATACCTGTTTGGCGAGAGGCGTCCGGGCGGCCCTGGCGACGACCGGGTGTAAGGTTGGCGTGTATAGCCAATTATTTTGTGTAAAAGAGGAGGAATATTGCGTGCAAGCACGAGAAGAATTTGAAATTGAAAATAGGCAGAACTGAGTAGAGTAGACCATGAATACCCTAGCGTCATTTTAATCGTGGCTATTATTGCGGCGAGTTGCAGGTAAACAGCTGGCCATGACAGCGAACCCTATGTATTGATATGTGATGGTGTGGTTCAATTCAACAGGCCTGCCTTGTCAGGGCTCAGTCTAAAGCAGAAGCCTTGAGGCAAGGCGAATATATCACGTAGAATGGCTCGAATGTTTCGAGGTCCCTTCTAGCGCTCATCTGCATCTAGGTCTTGGCAAGCCATGACTTAGTGTCTCTCAACTTCTTGGCACTGGGGTAGGTTTCAGAGATGAAGGGTGTCGATCGGGCACTATGAGGAGAGCCGCTTGACATCCCCCCAAAAGCGAACTTTGAGTTATATTGATGAAGAAATCTCATTCAAAAGCGTACTTTGAGTTATATTGGTGAAGAAGTATCATTCTCATGTACATGGTTGACTTTGTGCTAGTATAAAGATGTAATAGAGAGTTTCAAGGGTACTCTTTTTTTGCTGCCATGTAATGTTGGACCTCGGTGGCCGGGACATTGGATTACCAAACTGCGTAACTGCAGGAAAATCATTGCCAAAATTACTAATGTAGTTGACTTATAAGGGCCTACGTCCACACTAGAAAACCCCCGACGCGCTCGGACACTGGGAAGCTTACTCTTGCAGCCGCGGAGTCCCCAAGCTTGCCTGCGCTTCATTAGGCATGTAGGGAGACAGCCGGCAAACTAAATAATGCAGCTGAAAGTCAGATTGCCAAGCGATGTGAGATATGTGACGATGATACGATTGTCGCAAAACAGCTTCAGCCAATTGGGGTGGACAGGGCCGGTCGCAAGACGAGCTTTGAACCTCGGATCCGGCACGCTTTGTCGATCACTGGATGCATGCCACCTTCCAGACTAGGCAGTTGCCAGATGGGCCATGCTCCGAGCTACCTATTCGCAACAAGCTTACGCTGCTGTTTTACAGATTGGCCTATCTTTCCGGAGCCGGAAACCGCTCAAATCTTACATGGGCAACATAATGCTATGCTATCAGTGCTCTTCCCCGGACTATAAAGTCGGGGTGCATGGCCATGTCGTTTGGCAGAGAGGGTGCACACATCACAAACGCATTCATCCCCTCATTAAAACAAATTTCATCCCCTGCGCGTTTACTTTTTATTACCCCAATTTCACCCTCTCGTCAATTATGAAGTTTACCGTTGCCCTCGCGGTGCTGGCCGGCTTGGCGGCCGCCGCTCCGCAGCAGCTCCGTCAGCGCGGCCCGCACGAGCGCTCCGCGCGGCGCAACCGCACCAACCAGCGCGTCGGCGCGCCCTTTACCACCAGCCCTCACGGCGTGCGCTCGCAAACCTCTTCCAACTGGGCCGGCGCCGTCAAGAACGGCAAAGGCATCACCAAAGTCGTCGGCACCATTACGGTGCCGACCCCGCGCGGCGGCAGCAGCCAGCAGTCGGGCGCCGCCTGGGTCGGCATCGACGGCGACAGCTGCCAGGCGGCTCTCCTGCAGACGGGCATTGATTTCTACGGCGACGGCAGCTTTGACGCCTGGTGGGAGTGGATCCCGGACAATGTCGTGTTTTTTAACAATTTCCCGCTGAGCGTCGGCGACGAGATTTACATGGAGGTGGACGCGTCGTCCAAGACGACGGGCGTGGCGGTGCTGGAGAATAAGACACAGGGCAAAAAAGTGACGCACACGTTTACAAAGACGCCGTCGACGCTGTGCGAGACGGACGCCGAGTGGATTGTCGAGGACTTTGCGGACAACTTGGCCGGGTTTAGCGAAATCGTCTTTACAAACAACTCGGCCGTGTCGTCGGCCGGCGTCATCACGCCGGCGGGCGGCACGGTGATTAATCTGGCCAAGGAAGGCACGGGCCCGCTGGAGACGGACTGTGGCATTGATGGCGACGACGTCTACTGCAAGTACATTGGCAAGTTGTAAGCGGGGGGAAGGGGGTGTTCAGGGGATAAAGGCATATAGCTATCAAAGGGGGCATGAACTTGTGCGACGTACATGGAGAGATTTAAGAATATAAACACTTTTTTTTTTTTCATATCATGCAATTGTGACGCCTATGCCGACGTGATTTGTGCGATTTACCTATATTCTTTATGTTGTGGCTTGTGCATTTGAATCGCGCCCGGGGTGGGCATGCGGATAGTACAGACCAAGTTGTCGCCAATTCACAAGTGAGTACGGATAGAAGCTCACAATTAGCGTTCAAATAACGCGGTTGATGGTAAGAGAAGAATATGAAAATAAGTCAGCATCGATAACAATAGCCCTCCTCTTGAAAAGGTGTTTTTTTAGCTTGAATCATTTGCAACCGTTTTTCTTATTTAAAAAAAGAAATTGATTACCTGCCATACGTACCACTTACAGCCAAGTTTTGGTGATGGAGGCTGTGCTCGTAACCGCACAACAAAGTACGCCAGGGGTCCCTTTGATGCAACAAAACTCAATGTAAAGTGAAGCTCATAATCTATTCAGACCAATTGTGCAAAAGCAAGGGCTCTTGTGCATAATCGGGGCCAATAAATTGACCTTTTTTCCATCTAGAATGATTAGTTCTGGTGGGATTCGTACATGCTAATCTCCCCGGCAAGGGGTCTCAATGGGCCGCTGCAACCCCCCCCCCCCCCCCCCCCTCCAGGAGACGCAGCCAACTTGGCAACTCTCTCTGCCGACCTAGATGCTTCATCACCACAAAATCAAGTCAACTTGCGTTAAAAAATCATCATGATCGGTCTATCATTACTCAGTTACTTACCCCCCGGGTGGACGGAATCAACCTACCAAAGTGCGACGAGCAAAGACTACAATGCTCTCCCAGAAGACGTAGATTACTACCCCCCCTTATTACTGCGACCAGCTTTTTGCACAGCCACTGACCAAAAGAATCTTTTATAAAACACACAGCAATTGGAAAAGCTCATGGAGCGCAAGATGGAAGAAGTTCGTCACCAGACTAGCCAAATTCTGCACGAAGCCCGTACATGGCGCGCCGCGCACGGCATCGCCGTCAACCAAGACGGCGGGCTGACCTGGCCGCCTAGCCCGGCCGCCGACCACACTTACGCTGATGCCGCCGACGCCGACGCCGCCGCCGACGTCTCGCTGGCCAACATGCAGCGGCTGGTGCGCCACGTCGAAGCCGCGCAGTGGGCCGAGATTGGCTTCCTCGTGTTTCGCACATACTACGCCGACGAGCCGCTATGGGAGCGCTTCCAGCAGCGCTTCGGCGAGGTCGTCGACGGGGGTCTCGTGGGCGCGCCGGCCGCCGCGGGGCTTCTCGCCCGCATCAGCGGCCGCGTCAAGCTACCGCTCGTGTCGGATTATGCGCTCGTGGATCTGGGTCCCGGCGGCATTGCGCATATTTACAGAGACAGCGTGAGCAACTTGGACGGCGACGACGACAGCGAAGAGGAGGGGGAGGAAGGGGATGATGACGAGGAGGGCCATTTGGCGAGCTTGGATCCGGGGCTGCGCATGCCCATGTGCATCATGGTGGATCAAGAGTGTCTGCGGTCAATGGCGAGCGAAAAGGAGGAGGATGGCGCGGTGCCGTATGTAAAGGCTGTGGATGTGAGATTGGCGACGAATAAGGATTTGGGCTACTCGGGGTCGTTCAAGGTTGCTGTGGGAAGGCTCATGTCGCACTTTTACGCGGCGTTGCAGTTTTACGAGCCCGTCGACATTTCTGCGGCCGTGGACAAGAGTACGGGGATATGGACCGGCATGGGAAGTGTACAGCCGTCCAAGAATGCTGAAGAAGCGACTATGGTAGAAAGGATAGTTGAGAGGGCCATGATCAGGGGTGCATAATTAATAGGCGTATAATTGCTGATATTACTGTACATGGCATAATTTACATAATTTCTCGGCTGCTGCCGATTGGCCACTTGCTGTGGATTAAGACGCGAGTGGATGAGGGGGGGGGTCTAGTAATTCTTTTTCCAAATCCTCACTTTTGAGTACCTTGAGCTGCTGTATATCATTTCTTTTTGCCTTCTTTAAAAAGGGCTTTCTACCTAACTATCAACCCGTCACATCCCACATCCGCAAGTATGGCGTCTTCGAAGCTTGCCAAGGCCGCGACATGGGCGACGGCAGTTTTTACTGGTCAAAGATTCCCTATCGTACGGAATACGTTGCGCGTGCAAATACAAGCACAGGTGAAACACGGCTCAGGTGAAACACGGTAGTCATGTCTGGAAAGGCTTTTTATTAGGCTGCGAGGCTTTTGAGGCTGAAGCACCTTTTGTCGACAGATTCCACAGTCGAGTATAGAGCCAACCAATAACTGCCGAGGTAAATACATGCTTCTTGCCCAAGCAAAGAAGGGAGGGGGCACTGGTGAAGAAGGTGACTGCCTGACCTAGTTTACAATTCGTCTTCATTGAACCTTTGCAGCGTCAGTTCAGCCACGTCTTTAAGCCAACTTTTAGGTAGTGGTAACAATACATGTCAGTCGAACGGCATGTATCCACCAGCTACGGAGTAGAGTTGCATGCAAACAGCCTGATAATGCGAAGACTCACACAGAAGATCACCAAAAGTTGCGACTCATATTACGCCCCGTTGCGCTATCAAGGTATAATGGCTGCAGACGCTGAAAATGCTTGGTGCATCATAGCATGTTGGCTCCAATAGAATCTATCGATTTTGCCATGCTGGGCTGACTCGAGCACATCATTGGATATATTCAGCGCTTGGCCAGAATGGCATTCCTCGGGTCATTTCAAAAGCTCTTTCTATACAGGGCAGGCATCATCAACACCCTACATGTCTGTATGCTGGCCACTGCGGGTTTGTCGTCGTGCCGGGAAACTGCCCGGTGCACATGTAGCCATGCGGGTCAGTCATTGGAAAACACCTTCAATCATTCACTAGCTGTTACTCTGTACAATGACAAGTACTTTGTATACAGCTCATTTCCATCTTGGGGCACCTGTACGGAGTCCAATTATCCTTGAACTAGGGTATCCGAATTTGCAGGTCTCGGCTATCCGGGCTGATCTTCAGCCACCATGTATCATCGAAAGATGATTGACGATAATCTACTGGCTTGCAAAATTGGTAGTTTAGTCCTAATAAGCGGCATGGACTGGAACCTTTTTCCCAAGATCAGCGGTTGGGTAGGCTTTTTGCGACTGTGCCGCGCAACCTCTTGTGCCACAGATGCATCAAAGCTTTTTGATAGGCGTTTGATGGTGTCATTAAAGTACTTGAACATCTGCGGGTGCAGCACGTCTCGATTTTGTATTGCCGTGAGAAGCCGAATGTACAGAGTAAACGAGCTGCATACTGAGACAATACTGAGCAGCACACCTATCCGAACGCTATATTACCTAACCCTGTTCTCCTATGATCCTTTATTCTGTTCCTTGGAGAATCCCCAGAAAGGGATTGAACTCGTGCTTTTTCTATATACTTTTTGAAAGCTCAGCTATGAAGATTTGTGTGTTTCTATCGTCCTACGAGGGCTCCGGCAGTGCACTTGAGGCTGTCGATGAACTTCCTTGTAATCCAGGCGCCTGCACAGACCGGCACACATTTGAGTATCGATTCATTCACAAGGCCAATGCCAATCAGGAAATCGACGCTGCTGTAGCCGAGGGCTTTGAGTTTTATTTCAACTTTCTTTGGGGCTCGCTGGACGACCCGGTTGCGGGCATTCGCGCCAGTCAATACTTTGAAAGCCTGAGTCTCCCTTCCTGCGGCTTCCGCAGCTGGGAGCGACTCAACACCAAGAATGACTTTTTTGACCGAGCCAGACTTCGAGGGTCACCTCCCGTCCCCGGCACCGACCGCTTTCCGCTCTTTGTCAAGCCCGCCAACGGCTGCGCCAGCCTGCTGATTGACGAGCGCTCCGTGTGCCACAATGAGGAAGAGCTGGTTGGCGCGCTGAGGCGCATCAATGAGGGACTGCGTGAAGCGCGTGTGAGGCGCGCAGAGGCCATGGGCATCCAAGACACGCACGGATATGCCGACTCATATAGCCCGGTGGGACGGGACAGCGACGACATTGTCGTGCAGGAGTTCATCGATGGCCGGGACTGTACCTGCTCCGTTGTCAAAATGGGCCAAGGGTGTCTCGCCCTAGCACCCTTTATTTACAAGACTCGACCAGTCCCCTCGATGAAGCAAAAGTTTCTCACCTTTGAGCTAAAGCATGACGAGCAGACTGCCATCCAGTTGCTCTCTAAAGAGGATGACCCGGCCCTCTTTGAGAGGATCCAGCGGGCGGCCATTGAGGCATACCGAGCCAGCGACTGCAGCGGCAGCAACATGGGTTGCGACGTCGATATGCGCATCCGCCCCGACGGCGCCGTCTTTGTCATTGAGATCAATCCTCAGCCAGCGGCATTTGAACTCGAGGGGCCGTTTCAGGACCTGCCCATCATCCACAGTCTGCCGGGAGGCCACCGCGCCGTCATTGACATCTTCATCATGAACCAGCTGCTCAGCTGCAGCGACATGAGGAGCATAAGCGACAAGGTCGCCCAGTCCTACAACGAAATGGCGCCACACTACAACAAGGAGGCCGAAGAAAAATACAAACTTGTCGGCGTCAAGCGTCTGCTCAGTGCCGCCGACTATAGCGGCACAATTTTCGAACTCGGCTGCGGGACCGGCCTCTTTGGCCAGCTCCTCTCCAAGGACAAGAAATGGTCAGCCTCGCGCGAGACGAATCGGCTCTTTGGGTTTGACATTTCCCCAGCCATGCTCAAAATCTGCAGCGACACTGGGTACTATGACGGGACACACCTCGACGCCATGGAGACGACGCTGGTCAACTTTGCCCGCTACTCGCCCAGCGTCGACCACGTCGTCTGCTTTGCCGCGATTCAGTTTCTGCGGCCCGAGGCCTTTCACTTTGTCCTCGTGCTCTGCTTCGCCATTGCGGGCCGGTCCATTACCATTGGCGTCGACGAGATTCCCGACGGGTACAATGCAGCGCTCGACGAGGCTGGCTTTGGCCACATGCGCCAGCACAACCACATTGCCAACATGGAAGCGTTTGGCGAGCCGCCGGGCTGGCGACTGAAGCGAAGAGAGCGCGAGTATAACTGGACGTCGCCCAAGACGGGTGATGAAATTTATGCGACGTATTTTAGATTTGAGCGGGACGAGGGCGGATACCGAAATGTAATGTTTGACAAGGAGGAATTGGCGAATTGAGTTGTCGCGTTTTTAGCAGGAGACAAGGTAGACACTGCTTTTGGCGACCTGTATGCACTACGTTGTCACTTGAATGAGTTGATAGCTTCAAGCTGTCTTGGTTTCAAAAAAAAAAAAAAAAGTAGACCAACTGTAACTTGGAATAAGCTATTATTATATGCTGGAAAAACTTGGCTCTCTGGTTCTGACTATCATGTAAGAAACGCACGCCCTGGGGGACAAGGCTATTCAGTGAATTAATATGCTGAACTTATCTGATGAAGCCCTATATAAAAAAGTGGGCGTTTTGAGCGTTCATTTCGCCGCCCGCATCTGCGACTGTAAATTGTTAAAGCTGAGTAATAATTGCAGAGCTGGGCGTTGTTGCCAGTGTCAACAAAGTATTATTACAGCATCAATATCCCATTGTTAGGATGTGATAATCGACCATAGCCAACTAGATTAAAACAGCATGGACTCAAATGTCCCAGGGTGAGGAGAATTAGTGGCTTGATTGGTGTGTTTGAGGCTCTGTGGGATCACGGCGAGAATATTCGAGTTCGATGGGTCAGCAATGTACATTGCCACTTATTACAGCAGCCCAGCTGTGCTTTTTACGTGACACATTTCATTGAAGAAATCACCGCATCGCATGGCAGTGCCACCATCTTGCAAAGCTTGCGTAACTTGGCAACTTAGCTATCGGAAGCGCGGGACCCGGACATAAGCCACACTACGAAAGCTGTGAGGCTGTGCAGATAATTCCTCCGAATTTGCTAAGCCGCGGGTCCGAGACGGCAGCAGCCCGAACCCTGGTCAGCGCAACGCTTTCCCACTTGGGTTTAAGGCGATCAGAATTGCTTGCTTCCACTTGCTTCCTTTGCGTTGCAGTGCTTGCTTATAGGCTCCCTCCTGGGGGGTGGCGGGGTGATGCTGTCATGGGGTGACCCTGGCCACCATCTGCATTTGCGTGTTTTATCACGTTCATCTCCGGGAGCCATATATTCCCGACACTCGTCGTCTGAACATTCTTCTTTCAACCTTGGATTCGACAATTCCTAATTTTCTTTCCTCATCATCAGAACTTCGCAATACCCAACCTTGAGCCTCTCAGGACCCCTCTCTCGCCTGCTGCCCACATCATTCAATCGCCACTCCACATCGCTAAGCTCCCCACAAAGTCGGAAGAGAGGGGATTGATTACGTGCAGCGTTGTCTTGGCATCGTTTGCTTTCTAGCATCACTCGCACCTTGCACCTCAGCAGCCTGCAAACTACATTTATTCTCTGTCGCAAAAAAACAAGACTTTTTTTTTTACAATGTCTGATTTTGCTGCTCCTTCGGGTCCCCCGCCGCCCAAGGCGCCCGACGTGCCTTCTGGCTGGGTAGCTCGTTGGAACGCCGAATACAAGGAATGGTATGTGTGTGTGTGTGTGTGTACTTGGCATTGCTTCGCTGTCATGTTTTTTTTTCTTAATTGACGCAAAATGACGGGTCATGATGTTTCCGCTCGCCACAAAAACTTTTTTAGTCTCCAATTACCCAGCTACTCACCATTTTTCTCCAGGTTTTACGTCAACCTTGCCACGAAACAGTCGCAGTGGGAACGCCCAACCGCGCCCGTCGCCGGCTCCGGCGCCCCCGACGACGGCCCTCCCCCGTACGACGCCAACAGCAGCAGCGGAGGCGCCGCCGCCGCACAGGATGTCAAGCGTCCCCAGGACAGCAAGCACGACGACAACAACCGCAGCAACCCGCCCGCTCCCTACGGCGGCTCTGGCAATAGCCACGAGGACGACGAGGCCCTGGCTCGCCGGCTGCAGGCCGAGGAGGATGCCCGTAGTGGGGGTCGTCCTGGCGGCGGCTCCCCGTTTCCCTCAGAGCTGCCTCCGCGCGAGGGCGCGTCTGGCGAGCGTGGTCTGCTAGGGAAGCTGTTGGGTCGCAAGAATAACAACAATAACAACAACAGCAGCAGCAATCCACCGGGTGCCTACGGCGGCAGCTACAATAACCAGCAAGGCGGACAGTACGGCGGTGGCTACAACCAAGGTCCGCAGTACGGTGGCGGCTACCCCCAGCAAGGTGGGCAGTACGGCGGTGGCTACAACCAAGGTCCGCAATACGGCGGTGGCGGATACCCCCAGCAGGGCGGCTACAACCAAGGTCCCGCGCCGTACGGCGGCGGCTATCCCCAAGGCGGTCCCGGCTACGGCGGGGGTCCTGGGTATGGAGGCGCCGGCTACGGGGGCGGTTACGGTGGTGGTTACGGTGGTGGTGGCTACGGCCAGCAGCCGCCGCGGAGAGCCGGCGGCGGTGGCATGGGCGCAATGGGCGGCATGGCCATGGGCGCGGGTGCCGGTCTGCTGGGCGGCATGATGCTCGGCTCGGCATTGGAGCACCATGATCAAGACGAGTACAGGGACGGATATGGTACGTGATTTTCTTTCTTTTTTTTTTTTTTTTTCCGTGTCTGTATGTTTCTGCGTGTTGAGCATTGACTAACTTGATTGCTGCAGAGGACGGTCGTGAGGACGCCGGCGGCGACTTTGATGATGGCGGCGGTGGTGATTTCTAACAACCGTAGCAGCCGCACAGTAATTGAGGGAGTTTTCATTGGGCACGGCTAGTTATTCGACCATGGTGATGAGGTTGCGCGAGGCCTTGGAATTCAAACTGGGGGAGACGGAACCATGTTGGGCATACCGACATTCCATGTCATGAAATATGAGCTTTGTTTTGCTGTTTTGACGCTTTGAACATATTACTACGCGTTGAGCATCGCTTCCACTTCCGACTGCCAGACTCAAACATAGTATGTGGTGATGACTACACAGCAATTGTAACAAGATGCATGGCCATTCCATTTTCTGCCATGTCCATGCAAACGTATACCCATTATATACTTGTCATCTTTACTCTTTTTTCCCCCTTTATTCATCGTCTCACGCCCTGATTCTTGGCTTTGCTCTCTGCGTTCGTCGACGCCGCCGCACTGCCACCACCACCTCCACTGCTGCTGGCGTCGCCGCCGCCGCCGCCGCCGCCGCTCTCCTTCTTCTTGGAGCCGGCAAGGTACGCCGCCATGTCAAAGTTGCCCAGCGCGCTGCCCGGCTGCTGCCCGCCGCCACCGAGCAGCGAGTTCATTGGGTTTTCCTTTTGCGAGGCTTCCCACTCGGCGCGGGTTTCCTCATCCACTGCTTGCTCGTCAGTCTCCGCGCGCATTTTCCCCCCGGGTTTCGTAATTCAAGCGTTATTCATCAAGGTCAGGGGGGGGACAACGTACTGTTCTCGACAAGTTTCGGCATGCCGATGAAAATGACCATGGACACTAGACCCATCAAGATCATGGGATTCATAAGGATGCTCATTACCGAGACTGCCAAACAAGTCAGCGCCACCCTTTCTCTCTCTCTCTCTC